GCAATAGAAATGGTTTCCTTTCGGTAGGCTACGTGTTTACTGACTGATGCCAGTGTCAGTACTGTTTTGGTTGTTTCTGAAAAGCAGTCTGACCTTACCTTGTTCATTTGCATTTATAAAGAGTGAGCCCTGAAAGCGCCATGGGTCCAGATCCCGCCCTTCCCCACTCAAGAACCCTCACTTACGGACAAGGGGAGACGTTGATCGTTGTAGACAAGTCACTCTTATATTTTCTCGTTCTTTTTTATCTTAGGTATTCTTGAAGTTTTGCACTGTGTGTTAGTAGAAAGTCCAGAAGCTCTAAATATTATCAAAGAAGGGCATATTAAATCCATTATTTCACTTTTAGACAAGCATGGAAGAAATCACAAGGTAAGGGAGCCCTGTAATGGCCATAAATGAATTCGGGAATCATTTAAAATATATTTTTAAAATGAGATAACTTTAAAAAGGTGTGTCAGATGTTGCATTACATAGCCAGGTAATATCGTTCAGTGTTTATTCTCAGCGTCAGTGGGAGAAGAGCGTTCTCAGGTGTGTATGGAGGGCGATGGTTCGGTGACTGGCCACAGCGCGGTCCTGTTGACGTGACTGGAGGAAATGTGTTTCCGTCGGTGCCATGTGCTGCTGACACTTGGTCTGAAAGGGACTGGAGTCAGCTGACGCGATTTCTCTGCGCAGGTTCTGGACGTCTTGTGCTCTCTCTGCGTTTGCCACGGGGTGGCAGTCCGTTCCAACCAGCATCTCATCTGTGACAATCTCCTGCCTGGAAGGGACCTGTTACTGCAGACACGCCTGGTGAACCACGTCAGCAGGTCCGTTCAGATAGACAGTGTCTCCAGATTGGTGGCCCACCCAAGGAATTCATGTGCTAGCTCTGTAGCTGAGACCTCTGGTGGTCTCTTCATTTTATTGGGTTTAAAAATCGATTTCCTTAGTTAATAGTATATAGGAATGTTTTCTACCAATCAGATGGCATAATAAGAATAGATGATCTGAGCGAAATACGCATTTATCACAGGCCAGCGTGTCGCTGGGTTACCACTGACTCTCGGGAGCAGGCTAACAGCAATAGAGGAAATAGCTGGACAGAATCCTACTTTATGTCTTAACATACAACTAAAAGCACTGCCCTTCGATACCAACTTTGAAGTGTTCACCAAGTATAATCAAAATATTGAATTAGAATGTCCAAAATGTAGTCAGTTCCACAAATAACCAATAAAAACTACATTTGCAGGTAGATCTACCTTCCAAGGTATCGAGCATTGAGTGCTGGGTGCCAGCTGCTATGCTGAGTGCTTCCCCTGCACTCTGCCCTATCTGTGTGTGTTCCAGGTGCTGGCACCCACAATTTATAGATGAATGAAAATATGGGAACTGGACAGGAACTCAGGTCTCACTCCAGAGACTGAGCTTGTCCTTATTCAAAATAGTAACAGTGATAATAATGAAAATACACCTTATGGCAGTGGCTCTCAACCTTCCTCATGCCGCAACCCTTTAATACAGTTCCTCATGTTGTGTTGACCCCCAATTTCATTGTTACAAATTGAACATAATTAAAGCATAGTGATTAATCACAAAAAAATATGTAATTATATATGTATTTTCCGATGGTCTTAGGTGACCCCTGTGAAAGGGTGATTTGCCCCCCCAAAGGGGTTGCGACCCACAGGTTGAGAACCGCTGCCTTATGGTTAAGATATTACCTGTGGTACAGTCAGAGCTGCGAATCTAGCCACTCCAGGGAATACTACCTTACTGTTTTAAACAAAAATGTGGGGATTTGGTGTTTGACTTCATACTGTGTTTTTAAAACAGGATTGACTTAAGACGTCCTTCATGGTTCTCCGTAGAATAGACTTACTGTTAATGAGGGTGCTTCCTGAGACCTTCTCAGACCCCTGGTGGTAACATAGGGCACAAGACCCCTCCTGAAATGCAGTTAAATACAGCCAACTAGCGACTCCTCGGTTCCCAGGGAGGCACAGAGAACAACAAAGCTGGTTAGTCACCTTGTTCCTTCGCGAACAGCGTGGCCTGTCTCAGCCTCGTACCCCAGCTAACACAGAGCTTAGGAAGATGTCTCCATGTCCTGGGTTAATACAGCTCAGCTAATTCTAAAGGTCAGCTACACTGCACAGCTCATCTTAAACGTGGTTAATGAAATAAAACATGCTGATGAGCAGTTGAGACTAATGTTAGCCCCTGAGTGACGTTGCCAGGGAACCTGGCAGCAAGCGCCATTCCCTGAGCCTTAGCCGGGAGGCGGGCGTCGCTGTGCGTCTCCGTGACTGTCTTGGTGATGGTGCAGCAGTTAAGGAAATGTGTGTTTAGCATCTTTGAAGAGCAGGATGAATGTTCGGAATAGTGAGACGTCAATTTAGACAGTGAAAGGTTGGCTCAGATTTTCTCGTGTGTATTCTCTCTCTTATACAGCATGAGGCCCAACATTTTCCTGGGCGTCAGCGAAGGCTCTGCTCAGTATAAGAAGTGGTACTATGAACTGATGGTGGACCACACAGAGCCCTTCGTGACGGCCGAAGCCACCCACCTGCGCGTGGGCTGGGCGTCCACGGAAGGGTACTCTCCCTACCCCGGAGGGGGCGAGGAGTGGGGCGGGAACGGCGTTGGAGACGACCTCTTTTCCTATGGATTTGATGGCCTGCACCTCTGGGCAGGTGAGTGCTGTCCGTTTGCTTTCACAGCATTTTGGAAGGAAACCTTTGCCCTTGCTGCCCATTTCTGAAAGCAATTGATGCTTCTATTTGATCCATTTATTATTCAGAACTTCAACATTGAAATGATGAATGAGAGTGGTAAGTAAAAGCAAAATCACTAGGGGAAAAAGAAAACTTAGCATTATAGTACATTTTCAAAGGACTATATCATTTATAAAAAATGTACAGTCACCCCCCTTATCCACTGGGGATGTGTTCATGACTCCCAGTGGATGCCTGAAACCACGGATAGTACTGAACCCCTATATAAACCATAGTTCTCCTATACAAGCAACCTTTTCACTTAAAGGAAGCACTCTATGGCTTCTCTTTGGCAGATCCGAATTGCCAGCCTCCCTACTCTTGCACTTTAGGGCCCTGATCAAGTAAATAAGGGTGACGTGGACACAGGTGCTGCCATATCACCACAGTTGTCAAGGAGACGGCTGGTGACTAATGGCGGGGAGTGCATATAGCATAGAGACACTGGACACAGGAATGGTTTTTGTCCTGGTTGGGAAAGAGTGGATGGCTTGGGATTTTATCACGGTGCTCAGAGTAGCACATCATTTAAAACTTATGATTGTTTATCTCTGGAATTTTCCATTTATTATTTTGAGGCACTGGTTTACCCTTTTTAACTGAAACTGTGGAAAGTGGAATTTAAGACAAAGGGAGATTTCTGTATTTAAAAAGTAGCATTTTGATTCATGAATCAATTGCAAAAACCTTATTTGTTTCCTGCTTATTTTAATTGGTATGTGGAAACTTTAGCTTCCCATATAAAAAGGACCAAACACAATCTCTGGAAAATGGTTGGAAAAAATAAATTAAGTTCACTTCCTGGTAGATAATTCAACCTCAGGGATCTGTGATTTACAACCTTGATTGTGAGGAATTAGTTTATGTCACATGGCACTTTGTTTCAGAAATGTGGGGCTGTTTACAAATAAGTATATAGTTCATTTCAGCAGCTACCAACTCTCAGCTTTGCTGGTTGAGTATATATTAACAATGATATCTACATATCTATCTATCTATCTATCTATCTAATAGTCTTTCCTCTAATTTGTGAAAAGGATATGTTTTGGTTGGCACCATTTAAAAGTTTATCTCTTGATTATGTAGAAGTTCCATTTCATAACATGGCATAGCTTCTGAAAAAAAAAAAGCAACACTTTTTTGACAAAGGATCTAAGGTATAATATTATATGTGTCCCAGCTTCTATTCTATTCTCGTGTTGTGCACTGATATGTCACTGCCGCTCAGACCTCTGCCTTCAGCTCTGAAGGTGATTCTCTGAGATAAACTCACATTCCCTTCCTTCGTGCCCTCACAGGCTGTATCGCCAGCACCGTGAGCTCGCCAAACCAGCACCTGCTGAGGACCGATGACGTCATCAGCTGCTGTTTAGATTTAAGTGCCCCAAGCATCTCATTCCGAATTAATGGACAGCCTGTTCAGGGGATGTTTGAGAACTTCAACATCGATGGCCTCTTCTTTCCCGTTGTTAGTTTCTCTGCAGGAATCAAGTTAGTATGTCTGTGTTTGTGGCCTGTTTCCCTCCTGCTCACACTTCCACAGGACACTGCCCTGCCGTCACCTGTCCCCTAGCCTTTGCCACTCAGGGTCATCCCTCCCATGGCACCTGCCTGTTCTTACAGGAAGGGGCTCGTGTCACCCCAGAGGTGATCTGGGGAGGCTGGGGCTTTGTCCACATAGTCATGCACTCACTCCCCCAAACCAGTGTCCTGAAATACTTCAAGTCCATTTTTTTTTATTTCCTAAGGGAAAATGGACAACATTGTGTAAAAAATACCACTTAATTTCCTTCTATTTAGTTTCATTAGTTTTCTTTAGTAAGTTTTTTTGGTTTTTGACTAAGGATAAGAAATAAGGTTACATTTTTTCTTCAGCCAACGAAAATATCATGTATGTCCTTTTCAGGGTACGCTTTCTGCTTGGGGGGAGACACGGAGAATTTAAATTCCTTCCCCCACCGGGCTATGCTCCTTGTTATGAAGCTGTGCTGCCAAAAGAAAAGCTGAAAGTGGAACACAGCCGCGAGTATAAGCAAGAGAGAACTTACACCCGGGACCTGCTGGGCCCCACAGTTGCCCTGACCCAAGCCGCCTTCACGCCGGTCCCTGTGGACACCAGCCAGGTACCCGCCAGCCTGCTGGCACCGTCCGTGCTGCGGTCATTCTGATGTGCAGGGCTCTCAGCTCCTGACTGCCACCGACAGGAATGCATGTTTTCAGTAACATGATTTATATGTGCGATTGAAGCAAGTTTCATAAAATAATGCTGAACTTTACCATGTTGACGTATCTATTGTCTCTTCTACTCGGTTTTATTTTGATGGGTGGTCCTAAGCCATTACGTTGCTTTTATAACACAGTGAAGGTAGCCCATACTAACTTTAGAGAGCCTAAGCCATTACGTTGCTTTTATAACACAGTGAAGGTCACAGCCTTAGGTAGCTCATACTAACTTTAGAGATCACTTCCTACGTAGGGTAGACGTGGAGTTTTTGTTTCTTCTCCCATCTAGATACACTTACTATTTTGAAACGACTTAACTGACATTTATCTTGGGTAGAGATTGAGGTCATGGGCTCTACAGTCGAAATTCCTGGGATCCGATGTTACTCTGGGACCTTGAGGACCTGGGTAACCCCCACTGCTCTGGGGAGAGGAGGCGGTGAGAGCTGCTCCCTGCAGACCCTGCCTCATCTGGGCACGACCAGGCGCTGCTCGGCTTGTTGAAGGACTAGTTGTGGGTGACACAACACCTCACCTTGAAAATCATTTTGTATTTTTTATAGAAAAGTTATCAAACTTACTCTTTATAAAGATTCTATTTGGAAATCACTGACAATACAGAGGTAAGAGAAAATAGATCGCTGCAGTCAGATATTTACTGGCTCATGGAGCCAGTGCACCGTCTGGGCAGAGTGGCCATCACCCAGTCTGTGGATGAGGCCACGTCGGGGTGAGGACTTTGTGTGATTGTCCTAAATAACGCAGGCTCTGCTGGGCAGCCCACGTCCATCCAGCAAGGCGTCTTTCTTTGTGGCAGTTGTCCGGACCAAACTCTTATCTTCTTTCTTCCTAACTTTGGTTCATAAATTAGAAACCTCAGTTGCCACCCTCCCAAAAAAGGTCCCAAAATTTCCCTAAAGAATGTTTAGATAACTAGTTATATTTCAGTTCTATTTAGTCCAATTGCAGGGAGAACAATTAGCGCTGTGTCGTATTGTATTTTTCCTAATGTGTGCTTTCTTTTCTTTTTTCAATTTTAGATCGTGTTGCCCCCCCACCTGGAGAGGATAAGAGAAAAGCTGGCAGAGAACATCCATGAGCTCTGGGTTATGAATAAAATTGAACTTGGCTGGCAGTATGGCCCGGTACGGAGTTTTCCATTTATCTACAGATTCCGTTAATGCAACTTTCTGAATGCAACGTTTTCTCGCTCATCTTGCTGTGTGGTGATGTGAATGAATGGGCTGATGTTTTTCCTACACATCAGTTTGGGGAGGGAGCGCCGTGATGGGCGGGCTGACTGAAGCATGGCTCAGTTGCCTTGACCGTGGACAAGTTATCCATCTTTAAGCTGCAGGTTACATTTCCAATCAAGGTGAACACAGGCGGACAGTAGGCGTTGCTTTCAAAGGTTCTGAGAGAGCCCAGTGTGGGTGGAAGTGCTCTCGTGTGGCATCTGCAGAGCTTGGATGTTCCCATGGAGCAGTCTGTTCCCTGACAGCACACGCCTGTCATCGAGGCCCCCACGGGAGCAAAGGCCTGTGTAACATAGGTCCCCAGGAAGACTAATATTTAATTACCAGCGCAGTGATCCAGGCCAGCCTTCTTTCTCATTGATCCATCCCTAAAGTCTTTGATTTAGTGTAGTCTGATTTCTAGCCTACACTGTCAAGGATTAATATATAAAAAACCCTGTATCATGCTAATCGATCTTGCTGAGGTGGTGGGGTGATTCGTGACAGTGGGAAGGAGCGTGTGTGGGTGAGATGAAGGGCTGGGACCCCCGGAAGAGTTTATGTCAGACAGCCAGGTTCATGGGGTCTCTGACCACTGGCTCTAAACACTGAAAAATGATTCCACATTAAAGCGGAGTCGCCACTACACTTAGTAAGGATTTGGGCCTCCCGTCTGCTTCCCCCTCACGCCCCACTGCTGATCGGAGGGCCGCTGCCGGTGTCTGACTGGGGGACTGACCCATGCACCTCCTGTCCTGTTTCAGGTCAGAGATGACAACAAGAGGCAGCACCCGTGTCTGGTGGAGTTCTCCAAGCTGCCGGAGCAGGAGCGCAACTACAACCTGCAGATGTCGCTCGAGACCCTGAAGTGAGTTCTTGGCTTCCCCTCCCACGCAGCCTCCCTGGAAGGGTTGAGTGTGAAGTCCTTTCATTCGGCTGGAACTAAACCTATTGATTGACAAAGGTCAAGCAGGTTGATAATCTTGGGGAAAAGGCAATGCTGGTGGGAATGGAAATCGTTACCATTTCTATTGACATTGGCCAACCTGGTTAAACTTGAAAGTGTATGTGCCCTGTGATCCAGTAACTCCGCATCTAGGGGTCGATTCTATAGACGAAGGACACAGTGCATGTGTTACATGTGTGAGGCTGTTCCTGGCAGCACTGTTTGTAATAACCAAAGGCTGTGAGCAGAGCATTGGGTAAAGCCATCATGACATGTCCAGCTAATGGAACTCTTCAAAGCTGTTGAAAAATAAACCAGCTTTAAAGAAAGGACAGGATTTCAAAGTGAAATTGTAAAGTCAAGATAGCAGATTGCAGAGAACTGTCTGCTGTGTATACAGCGTGCACACACATGCACATGCACATGCATGTTTCCCTTAGTGCAGCACATGCTCTAGCAGGACAGAAGAATTGGGAGCTGTTGGTGCTTTTAGGGGGAAAAGGGCTAGAGCAGTGGTTCTCAACCTTCTGGCCCTTTAAATACAGTTCCTCATGTGGTGACCCAACCATAAAATTATTTTCTTTGCTACTTCATCACTGTAATGTTGCTACTGTTATGAATCATAATGTAAATATCTGATATGCAGGATGGTCTTAGGCGACCCCTGTGAAAGGGTCGTTCGACCGCCAAAGGGGTCGCAACCCACAGGTTGAGAACCGCTGGGCTAGAGGAAGGGACTTAGCGGGACTGTTCGGGGTCTGCCTTTGGCGCCATTTCGGTTTCCACTCTCTTACTCATCACTCAGAAGTGAACAGCGTATTAATAAATGAGTGTCTTTAAAAACACGTGTGCTCTGCGTCCGGGAGGACTGTTACCCCTCGTTTCCATCCGCGGAGGAGCTGAGCCCTCGGGCTCAGGGGAGGACTGTGCTTAGCTCTGCTTTTGTTTTCCAGGACCTTGTTGGCATTAGGATGCCACGTGGGAATATCAGATGAACATGCAGAGGAAAAGGTGAAAAAGATGAAGCTCCCCAAGAAGTAAGCTGAAGGTCTAACAGTATTCAGTAGGCCGTTGTGTTAAACATGCATCGATTCATCCAACCTGCTTCTAGTGAAAGCCTGCCGGGTGTCAGGCGCTGGTCTAGCAGGCGCTGCTCTAGGTTCCGCGGCAGTCAGACTCCTGCTGTCGGGAGGTTATGTGTCGCCTGTGCCACCCAGAGCCCAGAGCAGTTAGGAGAGGAAAGGCGACTTACAGCTTTATTTAAAGAGCATTTTCTCAAGTTCTGACCATTTATTCTTTTACCTTAGCATATTATCTGGTGAATTTTCTTTTGTGCAAAAGGATAATCTTTGAGATGGACAGGTGTGTATGTTTATCTTAACTTAGTAAATTCTTTCAAAAACTGTGGCTTGAAAGGCTGCTGTGTGCCCTGCGCTGCTGTAAGCACAGAGGCGGTTAGAAAAGTGGGTGGTGCCCACCCTCAGGCACAGTGGTTGTAGGGCATGCGGTCGAAAGTGAGAGGAGCAGCTGGGGACCAGCCTTGGCGGTTAGATGAGGAGACAGTTGTGTGTCTGTGCGGGGCGGGCAGTGCTAGCGCCCACATATCATGTGTTGAAAATTTTACATTTTCAATTTTTTATTTCTTCCAAAAGATTAAAACTTTATACTCACTTAGTACCTTTTCTCTCCAGCTCAGGGTGCAGAAATAGTCTCTGGTAAAAGTCCCTGAGGAGCCCGGGCCTTCATGTTTTGGATGGCTGTGGGTTTCCTAATCTCCCTCTTAGCTAGGGCTTCCTAAATTATGTACGCAGGAATAATCTGTAGATGCATTAGAATTTTCCCAGTGTCTATAAGGATACATACACAGCTTTATTGAGTAAAGATTACATTAGAAAAACATAAGTTGAAAATGAGAATTTTGGTTGAGAAACCCATTGAATGTTCTCACTGATAACCAGTACTTTGATTTGTATTAAGCCTGGACTCTTAGGAACACAAACAATGATAATTTGTTCTCCATTTTGAGAGGTAGGTGAGCTGTTGCATTTGGTTTATTGATGAAAAACAAAACCATAAGGGTGGTGTGATCCTTCCTCCTAATGAGTTATGGGCTTGAGTGGAGGGACCCGGGCTTGCTGAAGCTGTGTTACCCGTGGTCACCACTGTGGTTATGGACCCTTTGGAAGTAGGTGGGGCCACGCAAAGATTATTACAGGGATGTTTAAACCTTGACTTTTCTGGGAAGGCCCATTATATATGTGTTTTGCTTTGCTCTATAGTTACCAGCTGACAAGTGGCTACAAGCCGGCACCGATGGACCTGAGCTTTATCAAACTCACCCCGTCTCAGGAAGCAATGGTGGACAGACTGGCAGAAAACGCTCACAACGTGTGGGCCCGGGACCGGATCCGGCAGGGCTGGACCTACGGCATCCAGCAGGTACTTGGGGATTGACTGCCTATTTTTAAAGCTACGTGAGGTCCCAGAATGGCCTTTTGTGACATACGGGGTTTTCGCTTAAGAAGGGACAGCAGCCTTACATGGTCTCTTGACTCAGAATCCCTGATCTGCTAATGTGGCTCTTCTCAACACCAAGACTGTCAGCCTACTGTGCAGGGAAATTGCATGTTCTCTACGTTAGCCCATTGCCTGCGACCATGGCAGAAGGTAGACGCTGAAAGAGGTCCTTCAGGTGGCTTTCGTTATTGCTGTGGTTATTTTTACTTTTTCTTCTCGCGGAGAGGTCTCGCTTTATATTGATGCAGACCTTCATGTGATGAACTCTTTGTATTGGTCCTGTTCCGGTAACTTCTGGAGCCCGAGGAGACCAAGGGGATGGGAGGGGCAGCGTTTACCCTCAGGGCCTTGGCGTTTTGTTCTCTTTCAATGTTGTTGTAATTCCTGTCTCATTTCCTCAAGCTGTTGGCATTACTTTGATGACCGCACCTTTTTCTTCCTGTAGGACGTCAAGAACAGAAGAAACCCACGCCTTGTGCCCTACACCCTTCTCGATGACAGAACCAAGAAGTCCAACAAGGACAGCCTCCGGGAGGCGGTGCGCACGCTGCTGGGGTACGGGTACAGCCTGGAGGCGCCCGACCAAGACCACGGTACTGCAGGCTCCCTCTGCTCCCTCTGCTTGCAACGTCACGGGCAGGGTGTACAGCCAGATAAGTGAAAAAGGGAGCACAGACAGAGTCCTGTAGTGTGTGATCTCGTACGCAGTGTGCACGGTACTGCAGGCTCCCTCTGCTCCCTCTGCTTGCAACATCACGGGCAGGGTGTACAGCCAAATAAGTGAAAAAAGGGAGCACAGACAGAGTCCTGTAGTGCGTGATCTCGTACGCAGTGTGCCGTTTAGAGCAGTGGTCGCCAACCTTTCGGACCTCACGGACCACCAGTGGTCCGCTGGCTGGCGACTGCTGGTTTAGAGCACCTTTTCCTGAAGGATTAGACCGTCTCGTGGGAGCGTGGCCCAGACCACAGTGGTTTACTTCCTGAGGAGTCTAAGGAGGCTACCTGGTTCGGACATTGCCCCCATCCTACCCACCAGCAGTCCTTGGAAGAGCTGGGTTTAGATGTTTATGGGAATAAATTGTAGTGGGATCTAGTGTTTTCTAAGCCTTCATTATTTATACTCATTCATGTAGGCAATATTAATTAGAGCAATATTTTGCTTTAAGGAAAACACATTAGAATAGGCAATCAATAAGTATGTGTTGAGTATATGGACTTTTTTTTTAATCCTGGACCTTTTGGTGTACATTCTCATGGTCACCTGGCTTCAGGTTCTATGGCTGAGATTTCTCACTCCTGGCTCTCTCAATCCACATGCGTCCACTCTCAGTCCACGTGTGTCCACTCTCAGTCCATGTGTATCCACTGTCAATCCACATGCACACACTCAGTCCATATGTGCCCAATCAGTCCACATGTATGCACTCTCAGTCCATGTGCACCTACTCTCAGTCTACGTGTGTCCTCTCTCAGTCCACGTGCGTCCACTCTCCATCTACTGTGTCCACTCTCAATGCACGTGTGGGGTGGAGAACAATGTTTCCCCTTTATACTGTACTAATTCTGATGTCAGACTTGACCCTTTTACTTTCTTAAACACAATGTGTGTGTGCAGCACATTAAGGTGAAGATGTGGGGGAGAGGGAGTTTTGCCCTCACCCATGCTGCCAGGGAGTGTGTGGATGGTGACCCTGTCCTGCTTTTTATAGCTTTCTGTCTCCTCCTCATTGCCTGGCTGCTTCTTCCCTCTTCTCTCTCACTGGCCAATGTCTATTCATTTCTTATGGCCAGTGGTTTCAGTCTCTTGTGCTCTTTCTGTCCATGCCTCTCGTTTATCTCATCTTCTGCTACCAAACCACCAACTGCTGGTAGGGCTTTGCACAGACAGACATTCTCTCCTGCAAAGGCAGCGCCCCCACCATCACCGCGTCACCAGCTCGCCCCAGCCTCGTGCAGAAGCCAGTGCCCTCTGCGCCTCGCTGGCTCATGGACTGCCCGTCCTGATGAACACACTTAGTACATGTGCACCAGATGGGAATAGAGTATCATTAGCACATCACTGTGGGTGTAGTTATAAAGTTATGTGCTATCTGCCCCCCTTTCAGTGTTCCCTGTGATCACAGACTCTCCTTACATTCCCAGCTGCCCGAGCGGAAGTGTGCAGCAGCCCTGGGGAACGGTTCCGGATCTTCCGGGCTGAGAAAACATACGCCGTGAAGGCCGGAAGGTGGTACTTTGAGTTCGAGGCTGTCACTGCTGGGGACATGCGCGTTGGCTGGAGCAGGCCAGGCTGCCAGCCTGATCAGGAGCTGGGCTGCGACGAACACGCCTTCGCCTTTGATGGCTTCAAGGTGAGTGGGCGCCAGGCAGCAGCTACGGGGTCGGAGGCGTCCTCCCTGCCGGGCCTGGCTTTCCCGGAGGCCCCAGGGAGCACAGCCACACAGCCCTTTCCAGAGCACACGTTGGGAAGATGGTTCCCAGGGAAGCTCCTGCCCTTGTAGTTTCAAAACATTGTTCTCCACTCACAAACACAGGAAATGCCTTGTCAAAAAGATGAAGCACCATGTCTAACAAAAGTGTTAAAAATACATATACTCATTAAAATGCATACACTTTGACACAGCAATTCTATGGGGAAAAAAATCGATCCTCAAGCAATAATTAATGATAGGTAGACACCTTTAATAACTATAAGAATACCTAAGGCAACGCGGTTTATAATCACAGAAAGTTTCCATTTTCAGCATCGTTAGGCATTTTCATTTCTTTGGCTGTGGGGAAGTTTATTTTATTTATACATCATATAAATGTTTGAATATTATTTTATCTGTATAAAATATTAAAAATTTGTGTGTATGAACATAGTCACAATAGACTAATAGTCATTTTTGCTGATAAAATAGATCTCTTATTCTTTTATTTGTTTTCTCTGATTTTCCTTCAGTGGACTTCTATTCCTTTTACATGAGGGACATTTAATGGGGAAAGGGAATTAGAATAAATAAGCAATGGTGTGGGAGTTTGGTGGGGGGCTCTCAGGCAGGCATGGAGGGAGAGCACTTCTAGGCTAGGAACTAGCACTGTGTCCTCTAGGGCATTGACCCTCTTTGTTCTGAAATGTCTTATCTTTATTTTTCCTGGATTCTGCTTTTTTACTTCAGATGGGACAGTTGAACACCTTGTGAGACCTAATTTAGTTAAATAAATTTTCTAAAAACGAAGTATTATCCATGAGAAGAATCATATTATTGTTTTGCTTTGGTGACTGTATCTCATTACATATTAGATCACAGTGAAGGTGACATTTAGAGTAAAGTTAAAAGATTTACCTGGCAAATTAATATCACTAATTTTGTACCTACAGATCAATAGAATATACTATAGATTCAAATATCACACTTATCTTCTGTTTATATCAAACAATATTGGCATCTATATTCAGTCTTAAGCTTTTTATTTCAGCAAACATTTTATAAATATTTTTAGGTTTGGTTTGAAACTTTTCATTTTATTATACATGGTGGGGCAAAGGTATACAGTTCTTTGTATGGAAAATAATATAATAATAAATAATAATACAAAAATAAACTTGTGTGTATTCACAACTGTAAACTTACTTTTGCCCCACCTTGTATATTGAAATGCTTTAAGATTCCCATTTTGTTATATATTGGTGCCATTGTTCCAAGGAATGGAACTTTATTTCGAAATGGATGAAAACTAGAATGTCATTCAATGATAAATTCCCAGCTTGAGTCTCTGCTCATAATTCTTTGTATTTGGGGGAGTAGAGAGAAACCACCCGTGTCCCGGGAAGCGTTCATTGTAGGGAGAAAAATAAAATGTGAAAGACAGAGTTTTCTTTTGAATAGAAAGTATGTGGAGTAGGTTTTTAAAGTGATAGATTCTCAAAATGATGAGATAGCATTTGGGCTTTTCTCGAGTCAGTGCACATAGTGTTGCCATTAGGGACTTAGGACTCCCAGATCCCAGCTTTTGGTGGGGGTGGGGAGAGGAGGGCTGCTGTGAGTCCTACAGACAGTGGGGGTGCGTTCTCCTGGCTTTCTTGGTGACAATGACTCTTCTGTCCCCAGGCCCAGCGGTGGCACCAGGGCAATGAGCACTACGGGCGCTCCTGGCAAGCAGGCGATGTCATGGGGTGCATGGTGGACATGACGGAGCGCACCATGATGTTCACACTGAACGGCGAAATCCTTCTTGATGACTCAGGGTCAGAACTGGCTTTTAAGGACTTTGATGTTGGTGACGGTAAGTGTCTTGGGGGCGGCACAAGGAGGCTCTTTGTTCTGATGCCCGTGACCCTGTCTTTGGTTGAAGGTGAGGGCAGAGGAGCTGCCGCTGGAAGTCGCATGGGCACCCTGTTTGATCAGACACCCTTGACATTGTTTTAGCAGAGGCTTCTCCGCACCACTGAGCTAAGGCAGAAGTGGCTTCTTGAACGTGCATAAGAAATAAATGGCAGGCAAGAGGCTCATTCTCCACAAATGTTAAGTTTTTATTTAGTATTTCCCTCTGAGCTGCTTATAGCTTCTGTCTGCTCATTCATTTCATAAAAATGTAATGAGAGCCTCCCCGTTCAGGCCCTCTGCTGGATGCTGAGAGGACAAAGATGAATAAACACTGTTCTGTCTTTATGTGATGACAATAGACCAGGGAGTCCACACTGTGTGATTTCTGATCAGTGAGAAGTTTGAAATAACGGGATGCACAGTGCAGGGAGCAGGCAGCTCTGCTGTGGCTCCGAGGTGACCTGGGCAGGATGTAAAAGATGAAAGCCCTTCGTGAGGCAAACACTTCCAGGAAGGGGGCCACTGGCCACACGGGGCTATTTTAATTTACATTAACTTAAATTAAGTTAAAAATTGAGTTTCTTGTCTGGCCATTGTGGCTCAGTGATTGAGTGTTGACCTATGAACCAGGAGGTCATGGTTCGATTCCTGGTCAGGGCACATGCCCAGGGATCCTGGAGGATTGGCTGCTTAGCATGCATCTCATGTACAGAGTCCAAGGTGAGGAGGGACTGATCCAGAGGTCGCAGTTAGTGAATTATGACGCTGAGATCGAATACTGCCCTCCTGACCTTACGACTAATACTTAGCATCGGGTCTCTTTTTCTGGAGCAACACTTGAGATCATTCCGTACTAACAGGCTCTTATACTAATGGGACTGAAGGTTTTGATTCTTCTTTCTTCCAGGATTCATACCTGTGTGCAGCCTTGGGGTGGCTCAGGTGGGAAGGATGAACTTTGGAAAGGACGTGAGCACCTTGAAGTATTTCACCATTTGTGGCTTACAGGAGGGCTATGAGCCATTCGCCGTTAATACAAACAGGGACATTACCATGTGGCTAAGCAAGCGACTTCCTCAGTTTCTCCAGGTTCCATCAAACCATGAACATATTGAGGTTTGCTTTTTCTTAAAATATCAGACAGTTGCTAAAAAACAGGATTAGAGTATCTTTACACATGTGAGTTTTACTTGGACAATTACTGTCACTTACTTAAAATGGTGACCCTGATGTGTTACACAGAAATAGAATTAAACATAAGCTCAGCCTTGATTTTAAACACTTTATGAGTAGCTGACTAGACTGATGAGTAATAGTTAATTTTCTTTTTTTAGAGGCAATCTCAGGCTCAGTCTGAAGAGATGCCGTTATAACATGGATTTCCCAAACCCTCTTCTGAGTTAGAAGCAGAACTATGGGTATATCTGCAACACAGTCTCGCTATACTCAATCGTCTAATTTACAAAATCACACCACTTGTGGCTGCGTTTGGGGTTTTAAAGACATGAAACGCGTGGTCTTTAGAAACCCTGAATCCACAGTGATGGCTGGAATTGAGCTATTGCTTCTCTGTGTGCTAGGTGACCAGGTTAGATAGAACCCCCAAATCCACAGTGATGGCTGGAACTGACCTATTGCTTCTCTGTGTGCTAGGTGACCCGGAGAGATAGAACCCCCGAATCCACAGTGATGGCTGGAACTGACCTATTGCTTCTCTGTGTGCTAGGTGACCAGAATAGACGGCACCGCGGACAGCTCTCCGTGTTTAAAGGTCACTCAGAAGTCCTTCAGTTCCCAGAACAGCAGCACGGACATCATGTTCTACCGGCTGAGCATGCCCATCGAGTGCGCAGAGGTCTTCTCCAGGACGGCGGCCGGGGGGCTCCCGGGTGCCGGCCTCTTCGGGCCCAAGAGTGATCTGGAGGATTACGACGTGGATTCTGATTTTGAGGTTCTGATGAAGACAGCTCATGGCCATCTGGTGCCCGATCGAGTGGACAAAGACAAAGAAGCTACAAAACCAGAGTTTAATAACCACAAAGATTACGCGCAGGAAAAGCCCTCTCGTCTGAAACAAAGGTCGCTGATCTCTGCAAAGTGATTCAGTGTGAGCTCGTTCTGTGGGGAGGGCTGCTGTGGAGGCCAGTTTTTTCTTTCTGTTCGCCCTTCTTCATGCACAAAGGATGCTATACGGGCAGTTAAGCACCCTGTTTGTCATCTGATTTGTTACCACAGATGTACTCTATCCCGAGTTACTTTTTTATGCCTTTTCATTTTGGTAAAAAAACAAAACAAAAACAAAAACAAGAAAATTTACCATCTTAACCACTTTTCAGTTCACTTACAAATTTTAAGCGTACAGCACAGTTGAGTGAACAGTAGTGTTAGTTGTGATCACATTGTTGTGAAACATCTTCAGCACGTTTTCATCTTGCAAAACTGAAACCCTATACCCATTAAACAAGTCTCCTTTCCACCTCCCCCCAGGTGCTGGTAACTACCACTCTACCTTTGGTTTCTATGAATTTGACTAATCTGGTACCTCTTACAAGTGGAATCGTACAGTATTTTTCTTTGTGTGACTGGTTTGTCTCCTTAAGCGTAATGGCCTCAAGGTTCATCCATGTTGTAGCATGTCAGACCTTCTTCCCTTTTTTAAGGCTGAGTAATATTCCATTGTGTGTATAAACCACATTTTGTTTATCCGTTCGTCTCTCCATTCATTGATGGATGTTTGACTTGATTCTGCCTTTTGGCTATGGTAAATAGTGCTGTTGTCAACATGGATATAAAAATACCCTTTCAAGACCCAACTTTCATTTGTTTTGGATATATACCCAGAAATGGGATTACTGGTAGTTCTATTTTTAAGTTCTCAAGGAATCTTCATATTGTTTTCCAGAGCTGTTGCACCATTTTATGATCTTACCACCACTATACAAGGGTTCAGAGTTATTCACATCCTTGTCAACATTTGTTATTTTCTGTTTTTTTGTTTTGCTTTGTTTTTTTTCATAGTAGCTATCCTAACGGGGGTGAAGTGGTAGCTCATATAGTTTTGATTTGCATTTCCCTGATAATTAGTGCATATCTTTTCATATTCTTATTGGTCATTTGTAGATCATCTTTGGAGAAATGCCTTTTCAAATTCTTTGTCCATTTTTGGATTGGCATGTTTGCTTTTCTGTTGTTGAGTTGTAGGAGTTCTTTACATACACTGGGTATTAATCTTTAGCAGATATATAGTTTGCAAGTATTTCCCCCCAAGAGTTAGTTTTCAAAATTTCTGTATTTACTTTCTTGGTTGAAACTTAAAGAGTATTCTCTCTAAATAGTATTTTTATGGACAAGAAGGCAACTCATTTTAGCATTTTGCCTTGCACTAAATCTGAATTTCTGAGCCTCAGCGTGCTCTGGGTTAGATAACTGTTTGTTGTGAGAGTCTGCCTTGTTCATGAAACATGGTCTCCATCTACCAGATGCAGATGGCACACACTTGGCCCCCATCCCATGTTATGACAACCAAAAATATCTCCAGATGTTGCCAGACATCCTCGGGGGAGTGAAATCGCCCTGGTTGATAATCACTGAACTAAGCTGATTATTTGCTTATATTTGAAGGAAGCAGAACTTTTACTGTTGCTTACTCCCAGGTCTGTCATATTTTCAGATTTTTGCTTAGAAAAACAAAGCCAGATTACAGCACGAGCCATTCCGCGAGGCTCACTGAGGATGTCCTTGCCGATGATCGAGACGACTACGATTACCTGATGCAGACGTCCACGGTACGAACTAAGCTGATTATTTGCTTATATTTGAAGGAAGCAGAACTTTTACTGTTGCTTACTCCCAGGTCTGTCATATTTTCAGATTTTTGCTTAGAAAAACAAAGCCAGATTACAGCACGAGCCATTCCGCGAGGCTCACTGAGGATGTCCTTGCCGATGATCGAGACGACTACGACTACCTGATGCAGACGTCCACGGTACGAGGCTGCAGCTCTCGTCATTTACATCAGGCTGTCACTCATCCCATTTTACATTTCAGTCCACTTGAGTCATCATACTTAGCAAGCTTATTTTTAAAATAAGTTTTTCTTATTTGGGGAGGGGATTAAAAGTTGAAAAATATATGGATATGCAGTAAAAGAGCTATTTTAGGGAAAACAGCCTATTTTTTTTTCTTGGCAAATTTTGAATTTGTGACCTAATTTCTCCAAGGACATATAATTTCTTTCATCTTTGTGATATGTCTAAAAGAAGATCATTTATATTTTGTTAGAGGTCAAGTTTTGCTCTGTGCCATTTAAAGTTTTCAAAACAACTAAATGCCAAATGGAAAAAATAGGTAGTAGTGTCCCTCAAGTACCCCCATGTTTGAGACTGATTTTCACATACTAGATTGGAGCTATTTCAAAGTGATTTTAAGGTGTGGAAATAAGACAGATTAGTGCTAGGAAAGATGGGCCTATTCACAGGTGTAGAACTCCAGCACCGATTAGCACACTGTAAGCCGGCAGAATTCAAAGCTTACCTGCCTGATGGGTGATGATTGTATTGCATGAACACCCTCTATATGTACAATACATATGGTGTGCGTATTGTGTGTGTCCTTCCACAGTCATGCACGCACACTCGGGAGTATCAGAGCCTTGCACCATTTAGCACGTCTGCTCAGAGAGAGACTTCTCTGTGCCCATCATTTCTAGTTGAACTCCAGATCTCTGCTCTAAGGCTCTTCTTATTCTGCAGTGTTAGTCTTTGGTGTCAATGACACTTCATTAGGCCCAGTGATTTTAAACAACTATATCCTTCAACAATTCAAGGGCGTTGCAGTTCAGATTGGTTCGTGTTACGTTGCCAATGCCTGCCTTGCTGTCTTCACAGTACTATTACTCGGTGAGGATCTTCCCTGGACAGGAGCCGGCCAGCGTCTGGGTGGGCTGGGTCACGGCCGACTTCCACCAGTACGACACGTGCTTCGACTTGGACAGAGTTCGCACCGTAACCGTGACTCTGGGAGACGAAAAAGGGAAAGTGCACGAGAGGTTGGTTTTCCTCCCTTTCTTACAAGGGACAGCTGATGGAAATGGTGATAAACCTAGGAATTCTCTTGCTTGGATTTCATACCCGGGGTATTATTTCTACTTATAGGAGCGATATAGTCAAAACCTAAATGTCAGTGACCTTTCTGTTGCTCAAACAAGCCAGTGAGGAATCTGAGTATTTAAAAGTGAAAACCGTTATAAAGTGAGAGCAGCGCATCCCTTTTCGGGTAACAGTCGTGTTCCTTCAGCTGACATCGCACATGACTAACAACTCAGGCTGCGAGTCGCAGCCTTTGTGCCAGGGATTAGGATGGGGAAGGTGAGACAGGGAGCATGTGGTCTGACACGCATCCTGGGACCTGGTTTGTGGGGGGAGACGATTGAAGACTTGAGGGGCTAGTGGTGGAGACCAGGTGGGCATGTTTCAACTCCGACTGAGGAGCAGTGGGTTCTTTCCTCAGCCTGGCCATTGACTCGCTGTGTGGCTTTGGGTAAGTCAGTTCCACTTTCTGTGCCATCCTTTTTCATTTGTAAAACAAACCAAACTCAAACCAAACCTTCAAAAAAGTGAAGAAGGCCATTCTCCTTGCGGAAGTAGACAGGAGAAGACCTGACATTTGCACCTACCTCTGTGCCCATGCGTCCCCTGGTCCTCCATGCGTTGCTTTTCTTTTATAGCCGCACCTCGTTTTTGGTGACTAGAAGTTCACTCTCTTGCCTTCAGGTTTTAACACCTGAAACATTAGAACTTAGACCTTGAGGCAGTGGGCTGGCAAAACTCTCCCATGAGGAATGCTTCTTGTCAGTGTGGGTGCCCCAAACCACCTGTCTCCAGGAATATTCTTGGGGGATATATTTGGTTTTCAGAGAAGGTGATAGTATAAGGGGAGCTGGGGTTGGGCCACCTAATAGATGACTCTGTTGTGGGAATAGTTGAGGGAAGGGTTGTTGAGTCTTACGTACGCAGTGCAAAGAAGCACAGCTGATCTGATTATCCAGAAACTGACCAGCTCACCTTTTTAAAAAAAATGTTTATTTTTTAATCTTCACCCGAGGATATTTTCCCATTGATTTTTAGAGACAGTGGAAGACAGAGGGAAAGACAGAGAGAAACATCGATGTGAGAGAAACACATCGATTGGTTGCCTCCTGCACACGCCCTGATCAGGGCCTGGGCTTGGCGGGGAGCTTGCAACCGAGGTACTTGTCCTTAACTGGAATTGAACCCAGGACCTGACATCCTATCCACTATCCAGACTGGCTAGGGCCATCTCACCTTCTTGTTCTTTGCCTGCCTGTAGCCTGTTTTCCCCCTGGCCTCATTAATCTATCTGCTATCTGGTGGCAGACATAGTGAAAATACCAGTTTTGTTGCCATCTCTGGTGAAGGTTTTGCTGAGAGTGAAACTCGGGAAGCGTCCGTAAGGGGGCATGCTTTTAGCCAAATGGTAAATGTATTGAATGACTGGTGCTCAGGTGAATTTGCCTGAGGACTCTGATAGTGTTAAACAGGAATGCTTCTCATCTCAGAACAGTGGTTACACACACACACACACAATACCTCTGAGAATGAAAATTATCAATTTGGATGATTATTAAATAAACTTCTTTGAACCTCAGAAAAAGATCCAGTTTGGTTTGAGTTTTTGGAGGGAAGGTGCAGGCCAGTTCTTATGTGGTTCCAGCTTGTTGACCCGTCTCCATCAGGTGTCAGTCAGGGGCGTGTGTGACCTGATCGAGAGCGTCCACCGGTCAGCGAGGCTCAGGGTCAGACTCGGGCCCACGTGCACCTCCCCCACCACAGCATGAGCTTGTTGCCTGCGCAGCATAATCTAGGTTTAGTCTGCGAGACCTACATGCTTCTGTGACACCTGTGGTTGTACAAAGATAAAACTGTTTTTGAAATTCAGCATCAAACGCAGCAACTGCTACATGGTGTGTGCGGGCGAGAGCATGAGCCCCGGGCAGGTCCGCAACAACAACGGGCTGGAGATCGGCTGCGTGGTGGACGCCGCCAGCGGGCTGCTCACCTTCACGGCCAACGGCAAGGAGCTGAGCACCTACTACCAGGTACCGTCTGTGGGCGCTGCTTCTCCGCAGGGAAGTGTTGTTAACCATTAGAGGAAAGCACAGTCTGTAAGATGGAAACGCAAATGAGAAAAAAATGAAAACAGGCCCTGGCCAGTGTTGGTCAGTGGTTACAGCATCTGCCCACCCACCTAACAGTCTTGTGTCTGATTCCCAGTCAAGAGCATGCACCTGGGTTGCAGGTTCTATTCCAGGTCCAGGCCAGGGCGCGTGCAGGAGGCAAATTACAGATGTGTCTCTCTCACATCGATGTTTCTCTCTCTCCCCACCTCCCTTCCACTCTCTGTAAAAATCAATGGGAAAAATATCCTTGGGTGAGGATTAACAACAACAAAAAAGAAAATGAAAACAGGACTCAATGAATTATGTATTTTTACTTCTGCTTGAATAATAGCTGTGCCTTATGCCTCTCAGAGCAAAAGTACATTTCTCCTTAAATGTTCACGTAGCAAAGAAATGAAATGCTCCAAGTAATTGTTGAAAGACAATATCCATGTGGGAGAAAGGAAAGTCTCTGGTTCGCTTTTGTGAAGTGTTCCTTAGTTGTTGTGAAGAAAATACGTGTTCTTTCTGTTTCTTCCTCTGCTAATATTATTAAATTCGTTGGTTTTAAGGTGGAGCCAAGCACCAAATTATTTCCTGCAGTTTTTGCACAAGCCACAAGTCCCAATGTTTTCCAGTTTGAGTTGGGAAGAATAAAGGTAAGAAAGACTCATTCTTGGTATTACATTTGGATTGTGTTCTGTTAGGGAATAATATGTACTTCTTAAATTAGTACTGCTATTAATCCTATAAATAATTTTTAAAATATATTTTTTTATTGATTTCATAAAGGAAGGGAGAGGGAGAGAGAGAGAAACATCAATGTGAGTGAGGGTGTGGGTTACAGACAAGGGGGGTGACAGAACAGACAGGGAGAGAGAGCCACGTGGATGTGACCTGTGTCAGGACCTGTGGCACCGAGAGCAGCTTGGAGAGAAAACCTGGAGGATGTGGGACGCTTCCGAGGCCAGCGAGGGTGTGGCAGAGCCACGTGCCTGCCCTGAAGGGCCAGGCCTTTTCCTTCACAACATTTTCTCCTTTTAGGAGCTTTAGCCCAATTTCTGCTCTTTCTTGTATTGGCTTCGGTGGACACGCAGTGGGTCTTCCTTCTGTTGTCTGTCCTGCAGAATGCTAGTCATCGTTCCCCGGGAGTATCATAAACAGTTCTTCTGCTTCGTCCCCTAGAACGTGATGCCTCTCTCGGCGGGACTCTTCAAGAGCGAGCACAGGAACCCCGTGCCTCAGTGTCCCCCGCGCCTCCACGTGCAGTTCCTGTCCCACGTCCTGTGGAGCAGAATGCCCAACCAGTTTCTGAAGGTGGACGTGTCACGGGTCAGCGAGCGCCAGGGCTGGCTGGTGCAGTGCGTGGACCCCCTGCAGTTCATGTCCCTGCACATCCCTGAGGAGAACAGGTCTGCGCGCCCGGCACCCTCCCACCGGGCCCCTCCACCTGACCACTGTCCGGGGCTCCAGGTGGCACTGGGGACACAGATTGAGTGGCTCATGTGAAAGAAGTATGTACTTTTAAAATGGATTCTGTAGTCAAAGGAAAGACTTTGGGCATATTCTGGCCCGATTCTTGAGGTTTTGAAAGGTCATGACATGTGGCAGAAGCAGAATGGCCTGAATGAGGAGCCTGTGTAAATGCCGTTTCCCAGCAGGAACTCTCCTCACTGAAAATGTCACTATAGTGTGTGTTTCCTGAGTGGCGCAGACCTGGTGGCGTATGTGTGGGTCTGGGAGGGAGGTTGGTTAGAGGGAGGTTATGTCCCAGGAATCACCTGTTAGCTCCTCTCACTGGCAGGCGGCAGTGCTCACAGGTCAGAGACAAGGTGCAGCCTCTGCAATCGAAGGCACTGTTTCCTGGGTTCCAGAAACCAGCCAGCCCAGTAGGGAAGGGGACTTGGGGTTTCCCAGGGAGTGCTCATGTTCTGAAAGGAGGGGTCCCCAGGTTCAGACTGAGACCAGTATCTAAGTGGTGCCCAGAACTTCGGAGGTATGGACAATGAAGGGGGTGCAAGCACAAGAGGGTGAACATTTTCAACATAAAATTCTTTATGGAAGAAATCTTGTAAAACACCTAGAACGGACTTTTTCTGCGTGTCATGGAGAAAGAGTGTGGTTTGCATGAGCTCTTCTGTCCCTGTGACTGAGCATCCCCTGCCCCCGCAGGTCCGTGGACATCCTGGAGCTGACGGAGCAGGAGGAGCTGCTGCGCTTCCACTCGCACACCCTGCGGCTGTACTCGGCCGTGTGTGCCCTGGGCAACCACCGCGTGGCACACGCGCTCTGCAGCCACGTGGACGAGGCACAGCTGCTGTACGCCATCGAGAGCAAGTACATGCCCGGCCTGCTGCGCACGGGCTACTACGACCTGCTCATCGACATCCACCTGAGCGCCTACGCCACCGCGCGGCTCATGATGAACAACGAGTTCATCGTGCCCATGACCGAGGAGACCAAGAGCATCACGCTCTTCCCAGACAAGCACAAGGAGCACGGGCTGCCGGGCATCGGCCTCAGCACCTCGCTGCGGCCACGCATGCGCTTCTCCTCGCCGAGCTTTGTGTGCCTCAATCACGACTGCTACCAGTACAGCCCCGAGTTCCCACTGGACACGCTCAAGGCCAAGACCATGCAGATGCTGACTGAGGTGGTGCAGGAGGGCGGACTGCGCACGAGGGACCCCGTAGGGGGCACCACTGAGTTCCTCTTCGTGCCGCTTATCAAGCTCTTCTACACGCTGCTCACAATGGGTGTCTTCCAAGGGGAGGACCTGAAGCACATCCTGCAACTGATTGAGCCCCGGGTGTTCAAGGAGGCCTCCCTGGAGGAGGAGCACCAGGCACCACTCAAGGAGCCCCACACCGAAGATGCCAGGCCCGAGGGCATACGAGGGGATGCGGCAGAGGGGCTGCTGCAGATGAAACTGCCTGAGCCTGTGAAGCTCCAGGTGAGGGGGTGAGTGGGGGGCTGCAGGTGAGCGGGGGAGAAGGGGTGGGGAGCTCAGGATTGCACATGACCAAGGCACTGAAACTGGCCTGTGGGGGTTCCTGTATAGCATAGTTGTCTAGAAAATTAATGTCCAGTTGTGTTTGGGACTCATCAATCTAACTTTCTTACATTTGGATTGAATTTAATGAATTTTCCAATTGAGTTAATTGAGAATAGTTAATAAAAGATAAATTTAGTATATTTGTCAAGGTGGTTTCCTTGGCTGCGTATACGTCTGTCTACCATGTGTGTCTGCAAGTCTGGCCTGTTTGTGTGTGTATGTATGTGTGTATACATGTACTTGCGTGTATATGTAGATTTGTATGTATAGATGTGTGTCTATATGTGTATCTGTGTGTACAGTTGTGTATATGTGTATATTGGTATGCATGCGTATAGTTGTGTACGTGTATATATGTATATTTATGTGTGTACATTTTTATGTACATATCTATATTTCTGTGTATATGTACATTTGTCTGTGTGTAGGTGTGTATACGTATATTTGTGTGTGTATATTTGTGTGCGTGTCTGTGTGTATACAGGTATATTTCTGTGTGTGCAGTTGTGTGTGTGTGTGTATTACATGTGTAGAAGCGTGGGAGATGGCCTTCTGTCTGCCAGTCCTCTCCCTCGGGCTCCTCAGCGGTTCCCTGTGTCTTGTTTCTGCATCTCACCACGTTTCGTTGGGATGCCTGAACTCCAGGCATTTTGTAGCCCTCCCTATCCGCCTGCATTCCTACCAGCCTCAGGGCACTTGTCCCACAGCGGATGTCACTTCCTGCACGTGTTGCTAAGGAGCCAGAGGCATGGCCTGTCTTTGTGCGCACGTGTCTGAGGCCCTTTCTTCAGCCTCTGGTCTGTAAGGTCCCGTGGGTGTGGGCCCTGATGGGCCCTGTTTCCCTCTCTGTCTGCAGAGCCAAGCACAGTACTGGGTGAAGGAACAGGGGGCCCACCCTCCAGAAGCGCCACCCCTGGGGGAAATACATACTTAGTGATACATCTCTCTTCATGTGTCTCATTGCTAATTCCCTTGCTGGTCTGGAAGAATAGAATGGATTAGCAGAATACAGAAACTTCAATGGGATCGCCGTGAGAAAGGCGCGGGGAGGCCTCTGTAAGCTGAGGTCGGACACGAGTGTGTGTAGACAGGAGCGGGAGAGGGTCCTGGGAGCTTTGCACAGGACACGTGGCCCCGCAGGCTCTGAAGCAGGGAGAGGCGGTGCGGCTGCAGCCGAAGGAGCTGAGGAGAGAGGGTGAGACAGGCAGACGGCAGCTCTCACAGAATGGGGCTGATGGCTAAAACCAGCCACACGATGGAGTTTGAATTTTATTCCAAGTTCCATTAAAACCGTGAAGAATTTTAGCAGGAAACTTTTATCCTAAAATCACAGTGCAGCTGTTGTGAGTAAAACAGATGAGAGGGGAAGGCAGGGTGGTCCAGGGCAGACTGAGTCAGGAGGCTGTCACGTGGACCCAGACCCCAGGGGATGGTGCTTCCATGAAGGTGGGCGAAGGAGGCGGAGGGAGGGGGGCGGACAGTAGGCCCGCTTCAGAGCAGCATCGACAGACATACTCCTGTGGGTAGTGACACACAGCGCCTCGTATTGAATCACAGTTGGTGTTGGTGTATTTAAGTGTTTCCGAAGCTTGGGCAGAGCATTCCCTGGTAGGCATATTTTGAAAGGCTCACTGTGCACTTAGAAATCCTTTCGGATTCCTGTGGGAGAATACCCAGTTAGTGAAGATGCTGTAAAACCACCTAAGTTACATGCAGAGTCTGGAGGTAGACAGTTCTAGGATTGGCGGAACTCAGTGATGTCATTTGAAACCCAGGTCTTAGTATCCTGGGCGACCCTCAGTCGTGGTTTCCAGCCTAAGGTGTGTTGCCTCATCTTCCTCGAGTGATCATGTCGTGACCCAGGAACACTCTCCTTGAGAAGAGGGTGTTCTGGTCTGTTGTCAATGATGGAAAGTCTTTCCCAGGAGACCCCTGGCAAGCTTCTCATATATCCCATGGGCCACAGCACCTACAGCTGCAGGAGGCCAGGACAGAGTGTCCACCAAAGGGACATGCATTTGCCAGGATTCTGGGCGTAAAGGAGAGTGTCCAGCTGGGCATCTCTGCCACTGACTTTTATTTGATGTCCCAGAACTCTAGAGATTCATGACTTACACTTGGTGCCTTGTCATTGTCTTCTTAGATGTGCCTGCTCCTGCAGTACCTCTGCGACTGCCAGGTCCGACACCGCATAGAAGCCATCGTGGCCTTTTCAGACGACTTTGTCGCTAGGCTCCAGGACAACCAGCGCTTCCGCTATAACGAAGTCATGCAAGCCCTGAACATGTCGGCCGCACTCACAGCCCGGAAGACGAAGGAGTTCAGGTCGCCCCCACAAGAACAGGTACAAGAGGGAGCTGGAAACCCTTCCTGTTTACTGTTTAGCTCACTCAGGACCCAGGCCCTGCAAAGGGACAAGTGCATTTCCCTGTTCTCTTTACACTAGCCAAGTGGCGGTAGTCAGCAGTCTTAGTGTCACCCAGCAGTCTACTTGTTCAGTTTAAACAATAAGAGGCTTATTAAAAAGGTGTGTCATGGCCTCTTTGAGGAGGCCAGTGTGCCAGATCCTGATGTTCTACAAATGGGAACAATATGCAGCCCAGGGGGTCCTCATGGCCAATGCAGTTACGTCCCAGCTGCAGGAGCCCTCCACTCCTGGGACACAAAGCTAGACATTTTAAAAATTTTATTTATTTAGTTATTTACTTTTTGTTTACTGTTAATATATTATTTTTAAATTGAAGAGAGAGAGAAGGAGAGAAAGAGAGAGAGAAGCATTGATTTGTTGTACTTACTGATACATTCATCTGTTGGGCAACATTTTACGATACTCCAAAACAGGTTTTGAGCAGCTTTGCTGTGTTGTTCCTGAATCCACTTTTCTCTCATTCTCGTTCTTCCTCTTCCTTGTTTCAAACTTTCAGATCAATATGCTTCTCAATTTTAAGGATGACAAAAACGAGTGTCCATGTCCAGAGGAAATTCGAGACCAACTCTTAGATTTTCATGAAGATCTGATGGCACATTGTGGTAAGGTCTTTGTGACCTACAGCTCTTGTTAAGTGCACATTCACTGCTTCAAAAGTAGCTCTTATGTAACAGGTTCACTGCTACAAAAGCAGCTCTGTATGTAACAGGTTCACATATAATCATGATGCCAGTTAGGGTTTATCTAAGAATATTTATTATGATAAAATGGTTAATGGGCCCTATGTGGGAAGTCAGGCTGTCAGATGAAGCAGAAGATGACTGAAATTCCCCTCTCTCTTCCCTCTTTCCCTGGTGACAGGGAACAAGGGGGGGGGAGCGTGGATTGTAACTAGATGCTTTGGGCAGAGAGCTGAGTGTTAGGTTGATTGAGTCTAACGAAATTTATTTACAACCAGTTGTATTTAAACTGACTGCGTGGCCACTTTTTAGGCCAGTGAAATTCAGCATGTCTCATGAAATTAATTAATGCCTAAGGGAATCCTTCATTGAATTATATGTTAGCAGCCAGATCTGTGAAGGGAATCCTCCCCCTTCATTCTAAGAACTTGCATAGTGGGATCGATTCGATGCTGCGGGCGTGTGCGTCCTCTGTCTCCGTGCAGTGGTGTGGGTGAAGGCTGCTCCTGTGAAAGACAGTGACCTGGCAGCCAGTTCCTAGGAGATCTGCACGGCCCCAGGGGCATTATTTTTATTTTCTTTTAATAAGGAGAATAAAAGCACTGCCTTGCGTATTAAGTCAGCTTATGAATGAAGAACCACTGAATGACTGCCGTCAGGTTATATACCGTGTATATACCATGAATATAGCATGAAGAAGGGGACACTCTACAATGGTAGAATTATTGCTTCAGACATAAAGCATTCATGCTTTAGGTACCTAATGAGGCCTGTTCTACCTGTGTCTCAAGTTGTCAAAATATTACTGACATTTATGGAGGCAAGTGAGGAGGAAAGTGGGAGGTTTTCGGGCCGGCAGAACTGCAGGTCCAGGCAGACGGCGCCTGAAGTCAGAGCTGCCTGTGTCGGCGAAAGGAGCAGACTGGGTCTTGTCTCCTGAGAGAGATTTTGTCCTCTGTTCGGTTTATATTCCGTGCCGGCTGCTGAGGGCCAGGAGCCCACAGGAGCAGGGGAAGAGCAGGCAGGAAGAGACGCCACACATGAATGTTGCTGCGAGTGCTCCTGGGCAGGCTTGCTCGGTGTTGTCGAGTTTCCAACGCTGTGAATGGAAGAGGGTGCAAAGCCTGAGAATTCTTTTTCTGAAATGTACTTTTAAAACAGGTTTTTCTGTTCTTCTTTCTCTTCCCTATTTTCATACTAGGAATTGAGCTGGATGACGATGGGTCTCTGGACGGAAACAGTGACCTAACAATTAGAGGGCGCCTGCTGTCCCTGGTGGAGAAGGTGACGTCCCTGAAGAAGAAGCAGGCTGACAAGCCAGCGGAGAGTGCCTCCGACAAGTCCTGTAAGCAGTGGGAGAGGCGGAGGGGCCCCGCTGCTGACACTTACCCATCCTTTCAACGATGTCGCACTGGAGAGCCAGGGAGAAAACTGATTCTTGAGTAGATGCCTGTAGCCGCCAGAGGTGCTCAGCAGCATCAGACGATACTCGTAGAAATAGATGGAGAGAGAGCGCATTATGAGGGGGGATGGGCTCTGGGAGCACTAGAAGTTTAGGTGTTTGATTGGAGACTGTGAAGAGAAAGCAAAAGGGAGTAACTTAGCCTTCCTGTCTAAATACCATGCAGTTGATTTTCAAATATTCTTATATCAAGTTAAACCTTTTCTTAAGGTTTCAATAGGTAGTGTGTGTAACTCTATTTTGGTCTGGTTCATGCATATTTTACTTAACTGCAGAGGAAGCTGCTACTCTTGAGTCAAGTCGGCACAGGGCAGTGAGTCTCAGACACACACTCGCCCAGAAGGCTCGGGAGTGGGTCTGCGACCCACCCTGACACCTCACTCCTTTTTGAAGACAATTTAAGTGACTATTGGGATCCAAATTTAAGTATAAATGTAACAACATGAGGTCACTGCTGCAAATGACTCAATGAGGAGACAACTGGGTAAACATCTTGCTCCTTGAATGCCCATGATTGACCTTTATAGGGACATGTGATGTCAGGTCTTCTGGGGAGAAGATAATGGAACAAAGAAAATAAAAGTAAAAGTAATAGGACAGCTCGTATTAATGGTTGTATAGATTGCCAACAGTGGTTTTGAAAAAGTGGCTGCAATTTTGAAACAACTAAAACCCCTTCATTATAAGAGTAGTCCTTAAAGAAAAGTTTGTCAGTTTGCGTATTTCCATTCTTGCATGTCCTATAACTCATCTTTATTGTACTGTATGTATATGTGTGTGTGTATATATATGTATGAAATTCAAAAGCAAAATAATTAGCATGAAATAGCATAATTGGGAAATCATACAGAGCAAGAATGGAATAAAATTGGTTAGTATGAATGTTCTAATTTGATGCCTTTTTGAATTTTGTTACTTCCATAGGATTCTACATTTTCAAGGTTAAAGTGCTTTGTTCTCTTCTCCTGTGGTGGGTCTGCAGCCACCACTAAATGACTAGGGATGCCCACATGGAATTGTGGACATATGCAAACTCACTAAACACTGAGTTCCATTTTGCAAAGTGTTTACAGAACAAAATTAAAGAATATTTTTTGTCTACATTGTAAAATATTCTGGGCTGCATCACTGATGAAGGGGGATTATACTGAACAGTGTTGAGGGAAGTCAGATGTCATGTAAATGTAGACCCATGACAGGTACATGCAGTGGTCCCCAGGCCGCTCACACATCAGCCACCATAGGAGCCAGTGGAGATAATAGGTGTAATTTCACTTTGTATGTATCTTATAGAATAGCTCCTTACCGATTCCCTGTTAAAATAAAAGTTAGGGAGAGTTACATAGCAAACTTTAAAATGGTAGAATGTTTAAAAAGATCTATGTAGTTTCAACTATTACTACTGCCACTGAAGCAGCTGATAACTGGATGAGACAATTTATCAATTACCTGCCATGTGCTTAGTATTATTCTAAATAGTCCAAGGGTAGAAAATTGTAGGCTTAGCCCATTAGCGCAAGGAAGATTCACTGAGTAAAGGGTAAAAAATTGCCTAAAAGCCAGGACAGATTAATTTTGGTTTTCATGCTGGAAGAACATTTTGATAAGTAAAAGTGTAAACTGGTTTTTATATGCTGAGTACAATTTAGATAGATGGAGGAGAAAGTATTTGGAAAGGCAGTGTCTCTGAATAAAGAAATTGAGGTGTAATGACTGCCACCACATCTAACCATAATGTAGAATTTCCAGCAAACTTTCGTGCACAGACTGCTTCCTGTGGCATGAACAATGTTAAGTAACGAAAGATTAGGTGAATGTTTCAGATCACACAGCCCAGTAGATATAGAAATAGAGTGATGCCCTAGGCCTGCCTCCTGCTTAAAAGTCATACTCTTAGGTGGCATGCTTCTCGAGCTTGGAAACTGTTTCAATACTTAAAAATATATATATACATAATTTTTAAACCCCAAGCAAAAAAATTCCGTATTGGTGTATTTATATTAATTCACGGTACAATATGCTGCAGCAAAGCCATACACCGACCTGCACACTTGCATATTGTGTCTCAATATCCACACGGGAGATAGCATTATCCTGTCCTTGCAAGTGTGAGACTGGGTGATCACTGTGCAGGACTTTACTTCCTTCACCATGCAGTTGAGTTGGAGAAGAGTCTCTAAAATCACTTTGCTGACTCTTCAAGTCTTTTCATCTCTGCATGTATTCATAAAATAAAAAAGATCAGAAAATCTCTTTTCCAATTTAATGAACCATAGAAAATACTCTCCAAATTCTCTTCAAAAACCATTCCTCCCCCTGCCCACCATCCCACAGGCCCGTCATCAACTCATCACTTCTGATTAGATTAGATTCTGGTCAAAAGGCACCCAAAAGTCCCTTCCCTCAATGCAAATAAATAAAAAGAAAAAAATATAGAGAGAGAGACACACACACACACACACGTATACATGCATATACACATACATACACATACACACACATATATACACATATATATTTAAATGATTATTATTTTCTTCTAAAAATATTCCTAAATATTCTGGTACAAATATAGATATGAGTTTGGGACTATGAAATATGCAGTTGAAATCACTTTAATGATATATATATATATATATATACACATACATACACATACACACACATATATACACATATATATTTAAATGAAGTTTATTTTCTTCTAAAAATATTCCTAAATATTCTGGTACAAATATAGATATGAGTTTGGGACTATGAAATATGCAGTTGAAATGCCCACTTTAATGTCGTCTCTTATTATTTTCCTTCTTTAAAAATATCAACAATGACCCCGCAGCCACTCTTCAGCAGCTGATCTCTGAGACGATGGTGCGGTGGGCTCAGGAGTCTGTCATCGAGGACCCCGAGCTGGTGAGGGCCATGTTCGTGCTGCTTCACCGGCAGTATGACGGCATCGGGGGTCTGGTCCAGGCCCTGCCCAAGACCTACACCATCAGCGCTGTCTCCGTGGAGGACACCATCAACCTGCTGGCCTCCCTGGGCCAGATCCGCTCTCTGCTGAGTGTGAGGATGGGCAGAGAAGAGGAGAAGCTCATGATTCGGGGACTAGGGTACCTTTAATCCTTACGGCCTTTTGTCTTACGTGTGTCTTCTTTCTGACTGATTATCCCAATACCAGAACAGTAGGTGCATTAATAAACATACACTCTTTAGATTGCATGATCATTAAGTTAGATTGTTTTGTTTTTAGAGATGATGTTTTAAAGCTAAATAGGAAGGTTGCTCAATAATGAAACATGTCTAATTTTACAACTAGATGTAAAGATGGCTGTGATACAGAGCAAATACCTTTGAGTTTGTTTTTTAATTAGTTACTCAGAAATGTATAATCATATATAAAAATACAGGCTAATAAAAACACACTAAAATCCATGAGGAGATAAACACTCTCCAGCAGGAAACAATAAGAATGTTTGTATCTACTGGGCCGTGAAGGAAGAATGGCGAACTGCGAATTCAGCATCATAACTTGTGCTTCATGTAGATTTGGGGTTTAACCTTTGCACCTATGCATAGTTTAAGGAACCCCAAGCTGAAAAATTAATGTAAAAATTGGCCCGGTGGTATGCTTTCTTAGCTCAATTTCCTCTGAAATCTTGCAAGAAAAAACCTAAATAGTAAAAAAAAGTTAGCCCAAAATAAAAAACTGCAAACACATAGGAAACAATTCACCATAAATAAGGGTCTGCAGTTACAATGAACTATGGAGTTAGAACACCTCCCCCAAGAACTTCAGATAATAGGATGTTGGAAAGAGAACCTAAAATCACTGTATGCAAAGGAATAAATGAAGTCTCTAAAAACAAGACTTGCAAAAAGTCCAGGACGGTTTGAGAAAGATCCAAATAAACTTCTAGAAATGAAAAATAGGAGAATTGATATAAAAAAACAGGTAATTGAATTACAGGTAAGATATAGCTGAAGAGAAAATTAATGAATTAGATAATAGAGCTGAGGAAATTACTCAGCAATGCAGCACTGAGAGATAGAAAGTACAAAAGAGAAGTTGTGAGACCGAAGGGATAGTGAGAGGAGGCCCCGCATGTGCAGAAGAAGGTTGCTAGGAGACACAATGGGGGGACTAAAGGACGGATTGAAGAGCTATTGGCTTGAGTTTTTCAGAGTGGATGAAAGATGGGAATTCACAGATTCGCAAAGCTCCAATAGTTCCACATCGACAGCTGGAGAGGCCATTTTAGAATAAAGTAGAGAGGAAAGCCAGAACACTTGCAAAGGAACGATATTTAGAATTCCCAACGGCAGGACTGGAAAACGTGACTCAGTGTGGGATTGTTACCAGGGGAGGATCCCACACAATGAGCTCGTGCTTTGTGTGGTTTTGGAGAGGAAATTTACATCCATATTCAAGAGAGAGAGAAAAACAGGTATTTCTGAGTATTTACTTACAGCCCCTCATTGAAAGGCCTTCTAAAGGCTGTACATTTGAGAAAGGAAAACGGAATTCAGAAAGAAGGAATGGGAGGCAATGTGTTTTAGTGAGTATGTTACTGGTGTGTACCTGCATAAGTCTAAGCAATCAGTAATTTGCATTAACTTGGGGATATGAAAGTAAGAGGGAACTAACATACCAGAGAAAAAGGAAAGCTTAAATTAATCTATATGACGTTTACAAGAAAAATACTTTAACATAAGGATGTAGGAATCTGGAATGTAGAATGTGAAAAAGTGATGTAGAACACAAATATTTAGCAAAAAAAAAAGCTAATCTAGCTATATAAATATCAGATAAAAACTGAGATAATGAAGATGACTACTGACATGGATCAAATAGAATGCAAAAATAATAAAAAGGATTAAAGCAGATATACTCATAGATCAATAATTTATATAGGAATTTTTCTATAAACGTTGAAACGGATTCATTTCTATACAAAAGAAGGTTGAACACATTTGGATATACATTAAATTAGGATGATAAGTGTCCAAAACTGTATTTCATATTAGTGAGTGTTTATATATTTAGTACATTTCTTGTAATTGAAAAGAATAGACAACTTGTTTACTATTTTTGGTAGGCTACCAATATTTTTGAGGAAAACTCAATTGCACTTATTAACTTTTGTGGCTTAACTATGATTGCTCTTACTTTTCCGTACATGCCAGTATTTCCAAAAGTTGATTAGATTTCAGATAAATATTTTATTGAAATTTTGCTCTGACCTGTGTTCCTTTGTAGGGACATTATGAATAATAAAGTGTTTTACCAGCACCCTAACCTCATGAGGGCACTGGGGATGCACGAGACAGTGATGGAGGTCATGGTGAACGTCCTTGGTGGTGGGGAGTCCAAGGTAAAGGAAAACCTTTGAATCTTGGGGTGGCGTTTATTGCACCTCCTTGAGTGCATGCATGTCTTAAACCTTCTCCGGAGGACTGTTTAAAAGACACCTTTTGGAAAACCTTACCGATTGAGAGTTGGACGTACTACTAGTGTTTTTTTTGTCTTTAATATCTATAACAATTTTTATCCTATGCTGTGTGATTTGCTGTATCCCTAATTATTGTCATTTAAGGGATGTTTAGAAACTTTAAAAGTTAATACTGTACTGTTTATTTAAAATTTAGAACTATAAGTCAGTTTCTTCACGTTACACGTCCATAGCACACACATGTCCTTGAGATCCAGCCGCTCCCCTTGGCAACCGGGGCTGCACTCAGTTCCCGGTCCAGACCAAGACTTGAGGATGATGCTCTGGACTATTTGTTGTAAGACTCCAAAGTGAATTGTTAAGGGATTAAAATTTAAAATAAAGTTCTTCAGAACCAAATGAACAGAGTAATATATCAAATAACTTCAGATAAATTGGTATAATTTTATAATGTCTGATTTCCAAAATGTATTTCAATAATTTTTGGAATTTCACTGTGTTTTTCAAAATATGGAAATGAGTCTATAATTCTCATGTCCTGTCACCATTTAGACAGACTTACAAAGATATTTATAAAATGCTGTGTTGAAGAAGGACCCCAGGCATCATCGAGCATCCTAGAACAGGATTTGGCTCTCAAAGGACATGTGTCTGATGAGGTCCAGCTTCCGGGCAGGGTGCTCCTTAGAGCAGAGGAGTCCTGTGCCATCAGGAGATTGTGAATACCTGGAATTTTAATGATAACCGCAGTGGCAGCACTGATGAATCAGAACCTGTGGTTCCAAATATTACACTGGGTGTTCTTCACAGACTGCCTCGTTTACATCCCCCTTTCTTGTCCAAAGTGAGCAGTATTATCCTCGTAATTCCAGGTTTACGTAACCAAGTCAGTGAGCTTGCAGTTTTCCAAGGAGGCACAGCTGCTAGTGGGCAGGAGTCACACCGAGTCTGTCTGATTCCTAACCCGGGCTCATGCCTCCTTCGGGTTGGGCTGTAGATTACTTCCAAATCCAGCCATTGATGGTGATGAGGTTTCGACATCAGTGCCAGGCTTGCTTTTCTGGGGCTCAGGGACAGATGGGTCAGAGTCTGGAAGTGGGAAGGTCTTCGGGCCAAGGCTCTGCAGACATGGGCACACACGGGTTAACAATGTGACTCAATTTTGTAAAGATGGTTTGCTTTCACAGCTAATTAAATGCTCTTTATGCAGGAGATCACTTTTCCCAAGATGGTAGCCAACTGTTGCCGTTTCCTCTGTTACTTCTGTCGTATAAGCCGGCAGAACCAAAAAGCTATGTTTGACCATCTCAGTTACTTATTGGAAAACAGCAGTGTTGGTCTAGGTAAGTAAGGGTTTGACTTTTATTGAAATTTTGTGATAAAAATAATACACATATTTCAATGTAATGTCAATGAACTCAGAGGAGTGCCATATGTATCGCACTTCGAAATTAAATTTTAAGTAAAAGTGTGTTCTACACGGAATTCATAGTTGCAGCCCAATCCAGGTTTTGTTTCCCCTTCATTTGGATTAACAGCTTCGCCAGCGATGAGAGGTTCGACGCCCCTGGACGTGGCGGCGGCCTCGGTGATGGACAACAATGAGCTGGCCTTAGCGCTGCGCGAGCCGGACCTGGAGAAGGTAGGCGGCCTTCCTGCGCTGCACAGGGTCAGCTCTGCTGGTTCACAACTCCTCCTCAAGATTATTTAAAAACAGCTGCAATATAGTGACAATTATGTTACTACACTTATACATAAATGTTGCATGTAATATTATAAGTTATATAAGATGTTTGAGATAAGTTATTTCCTTTAACCACATGCATTTTTCTCTCTGAAAAAAGAATCAACTTACTCTGTCTGTGTTCCTGTCTGTTTTTGTCCTTTCATGATATCTGCTGTCACATTTGCTTTAATCACACAGTTTCTGCTTTTTAAATGTCAGAGACTGAGTTATGGGGCTGGAGGGGGGGCCATTCTATCTTCATGCACCTGAGCGGCACCCATCTTCCTGTGTGGTGCTCTCCCCACACAGCCAAACCTGGGTCTCTTTAGCCTGATGAACTCTGCGGGCCTCATCCTGCTGACCCCCTGAGACTGCCCCACCACGGGTCCATGCAAACCAGGCAGGAGAGGGCTGGCTTTGGTGCACCCGGGGACTTGTGCTGAGTGGCCTCAGACCCGGCACTGGCACCAAATTTGAATCTGTATCAACCTGGTGAACACCATGCGCCCCTACCTGGGGACTCACTGAGAACCTCCCTCATGCAACTTGCCTACTGCCTGAGGCTCATCCAGTGACTGAGCCTAACAGGCAGCTGCCAGGCGGAGGTGGGTCTCAGGATGCCTTGGGCCTTGTGCTCACCTGCCCCCAGACTCAGTGTTGGGGGAAGCCAGCCTTGGTGCGCAGCTCGGATCACCCCACGCCACCCAGGCCCAGCATAGGCAGCCACAAGCTGCATGTCACTCGGTTGCTCCTGACAAGTAGCCCAAGGCTCTGATAGGCAGCCTCTGACATTGACCTGCACTGGTCCCTCCCAAGAGGCGCCAGAACCAACACATCAGTGGAGGGCTGCAGACTACACCAGAGCACGACCCATTTAGCTCCACAAGCGGCACACCCACAGGGAGATCCCGCAGGCACCAGACCCTGCGGGGGAATTTTGCTTCCAAGGGTCTGAGGATTAATTAGACTCTAGATCTAATATACACATTTAATACTCACACAGCAGCTGGAACACTGTGGTCTGGATCAAAGAACCTTAAAAGCAGAGAGAAAAGCAGTTAGTTACAAGGGAGAACCCATATGACTGCCAGCTGATTTCTCAACAGAAACTGCAGGGCAGAAGGGAGTGGCAAGAAATATTCAAAGTGATGAATAGCAAGGACCTACAACCAAGAATACTCTACCCAGCAAAGCTCTCATTTAGAATTGAAGGTCAGATAAAGAGCTGCACAGACAAGAAAAAGCTGAAGGAGCTCATCACCACCAAACCAGTATTACATGAAATGTTGAAGGGTGTTCTTTAAGAAGAGGAAGAAGGAGAAGAAAAAAGATCATAAATATGAATAATAAAATGGCAATAGATACACATCTATCAACAATTGAATCTAAAAATGAAAATAAATGAACAAGGAATCTAATGAACAAAATAAACTGATGAATAAAATAGAACCAGAGGCATGGAATGGAACAGACAGACGAATCTCAGAGGGAAAGGGGGGGAGGGGGAGCAGGAAGAGATTAACCAAAGGTCTTATATTGCATACTAGAGGCCCGATGCACGAAATTCGTGCAAGGGTCTCGGCCCTCACAGCTGCAGCGGCTTGCCTCAGCCCTCGCAGCCCCAGCTTCGTCAGGAAGGTCATCAGGATGGTCGTCCAGAAAGACGTCTGGTCTAATTAGCATATTATGCTTTTATTATTATAGATATGCATTACCTATGGACACAATAGGGTGGTGAAGGCCTGGGACCGGGTGGGATCCCTGTGGAAGGGGACAATGGGGGGAGGAGGGGGATATCTGTAATACCCAACAATGAAGATTAAAAAACGCACAAAAACTTTCAAAGCTGCATTTGTTACAAACCGCCCTTGGATGGCGTCTCCACAGTCTGGAGTAAGCAGCTGACCTCTGACTTGACGCCCGAGGGCTCACGCTCTGCTCCTCGTCCTGTTGGCAGGTGGTCCGGTATTTGGCCGGCTGTGGACTGCAGAGCTGCCCGATGCTGGTGGCCAAGGGCTACCCAGACATCGGCTGGAACCCAGTCGAAGGGGAGAGATATCTCGACTTTCTCAGATTTGCTGTTTTCTGTAACGGTAGGACGGATGGCTTGTGGGGGCCTCTTCGCTCATTATTAAAACTGCATAGAAATAGTTATAAAATAGTGATATATGCCAGCATTTTCACGGGGGAGGTAAATATTAGAAAAGAAACAGAATATTTTATAATCAGATATTTACAGTAACAACTTATTTTATAATATGTGTTTTGATAGTGATGCTATACTTCATTATTAAATTAAAAACTTTCTGTACTTACATTCTTATAAATTTTTGTAATTAGATTCTATAAGGCCTAGGACTATGGCTTCAAGTTACAAATTAACAGTATATGCCTCCATAATGCTTTACTCTACATTGGAAATGTTAAAGTACAAGAACAGAAAATGGCAGTCTTGTACACATAAAACTAGTCATCTGAATGTAATTTGGCTTTACCACCATGTTGGTTGGTTTTAGTATTACTTTTTTTAATGTAAGTGAATGAATGTAACATCATTTGCTCAGAAGTCCGTGTGACCCCGCTTGTGCCCGCAGGGGAGAGCGTGGAGGAGAACGCGAACGTGGTGGTGCGGCTGCTCATCCGCAGGCCCGAGTGCTTCGGCCCCGCCCTGCGCGGCGAGGGTGGGAACGGGCTCCTCGCAGCCATGGAGGAGGCCATCAAAATCGCCGAGGACCCTTCTCGAGATGGCCCCTCACCAACCAGCGGGTCCAGCAAAACCCCGTAGGTCCAATACACACATTCTTAGGAGTAAATTTGTGCTACTTGACTTGAACTTTTACAAAATATAATTTGCAGTCTGTTAATTTCAATGTAACTGGGGATTTCTCCCCTTGGAGACCAAGTGTGGTAGATGTGGGAGAGGGATGGGGGGCTGCTGGACCAGGCTGAATGAACAGAGACCTGAGGAAGATGTGGCTGTAGTGAGAAGCTCAGGTTGTGGGAGGTTGTCTCTCATCAGTGACTTCTCCCAGGGGCTCTGGCAAATTTCCTTCTTACAGTGATGGCAGCAAGCCTTCGCACCTGGAGTCAAGGTCAGAGGAAGCAGCTAGAATAAGTTTTCATGACAATAGTGAATGAGGGAGACCTTTAGGAATATAATGGAGACTTAGTCCAGAAGAGGGGGTGTCATCATGCTAGGAGTGACGGAGGGGGCAGCGACCGCCTTCCATTTGTCCAGACATGTGCAGGTTGTGAGTACTAACTTCAGCGATGGACGTACTTTAATCCTGGCTGCCGCTCCTGTTGTCTTACTCTGGGAGGTGGCAGTCCTGCTAGGCTCATGACCCCACTCCTGGAGAAGAAACAACACAGGGCCTGTTGGAGGCAAGTTCAAGCACAGATGTGGTCCTGCCAACCCTGCTGCCAGACAACCCGGCACAGAGTGCTGTCCACACCGTGGCTGGGCTCCAGACTGGGAGGTTCTGTACTTATTAGTCAGCCACAGAGGAACGAGGGAGCCCTTAGTTTCTCTAAGTAGCAGAAAGTACATCTAGAGATCTGGCCCCACCCACACCAGTGGGTGTGCACTCCAGGGCCCTGGGAACAGCCTTGCACGCCAGGAAAGGTGTGGCCAGTGCAGCCTCCCTGTCCCGGGTGAGACCTCTGATGCAGCAGACACAGCGGACTCCTGAGCTGCCAAAGGAGGAAGGCCTTGGTCTCCAGGTCCATCAACATTTGTCTGTCCTCAGTGAGACAATGAAGTATTTATGTTTTTCCCACAGAGTGGGAGCGGGACATGCCGGATTACTGGGAGTGGGTTGGTGGGTAACTGAGATCATGTTTATGAAGTTCTTCCTCTGGGGAAAACTCTGTACTTGACACCCTATATATGTGACCTTATGGGACAGATCTTTGTCACCCTTTCTCTAAATCAGTGGTTCCCAAACTTATTTGGCCTACTGCCCCCTTTCCAGAAAAAATATTACTCAGCGCCCCCTGGAAATTAATTTTTTTAAAATTTTAATAGCAATTAAACAGAAAGATATATGTATTAATGTTTCTACCTTTTTCGTAAAATATAGTAAAGAAAGGTGTAAATTAGAAACATTGAAGTTTGAAATTATGAAACTATTTATTGAACTCAGAATAGAAAGGTAATACAAAAAAAGTTGAAACAAATGCACCTGTGGCCATCACCGCCCCCCTGGATCGCTGCAGCGCCCACCAGGAGGCGGTAGCGCCCACTTTGGGAATCACTGCTCTAAATGTATCTAGTCACAAAAGCATTCTAAGTTTACCAGGTCCTTCCATCTCTTACCTTCCTTGTTAATGAGCTAGCTGCCACTACAAATTGAGCAGAATCATCAAATTAGCAGTTCTTTTTTTTTTCCCCTTCTTGAAAGGATCTTAATATTCACATTCCCACAAGTGTGTCCTTGGTGACAGAATCTCAAATCTGGTCTTGAATGCATTGTCATTTTGCTTTAAAATGCCCAGCTGTAAATTAAACACAGGCATGAAAGCATCAGAATGAATTACCTAGTGGCCCCTGTCCCCTGAGAACATGTAATAAACCAGAAATGTCACTTCATCCTCCCGTTTGATTTGTTTCTGTTTCCCTGGAATGATCCATGAAAGTGACACAGCGGAGGAGGACAACACCATCCACATGGGGAACGCCATCATGACCTTCTATGCGGCTTTGATTGACCTGTTAGGACGTTGTGCTCCTGAAATGCATGTAAGTTCCTGGGGCCCCAGAGCGGCACCCTGGCTCCTCTGTGTGAAGACACAGTAGCTGGTAGGGGTGTCCCCTAGCACCCAGACCAATGATCTTCATGCTCCTTAAGAATAACACTGCCGGCCACTAGCCTCGGCATAGTGTACCGACGTCAGGGGAGACTGTGGGCAGGGAAATAGCATCTGTAAGCCCGAAACAACCGTTTCTGAGCCAGGTCTAACTTTATGCATATCCGTCAAAGAAAATCATTTCAGACACGATTTTGTACTTCAAGTTTGTAGGCAGAATTATAGCATTGATTTCACAGAGTGATTCTAATGCTCCTTTGTTCTCTTCCTGTAGTTGATTCACGCCGGGAAGGGGGAAGCCATCAGGATCAGATCAATTTTGAGGTCCCTGATTCCACTGGGAGATTTGGTGGGCGTGATCAGCATCACTTTCCAGATGCCTGCGATAGCCAAAGGTGAGGTCCCTCTGATTAGCTAAGGCCTGTCTGAAACGTTTAGAGCACACTTGTTCTAGAACGGAGTGTGGCCATATAACAATGAAAGGGGGAGGGGCTCAGAGACCCGAAGGCAATATGTGGTCTCGGAAAGAGATGCTGCTCCCCCAGCTGTGGGCCCAGGAAGGCTGGACAAAGGTCCAGGAGGTGACTTCAGGCGGATGGAGCCTGCAGGTCCCCAGGTTAAAGCCAATGCCCAGGCCTCCGCATGCCAGTTAGCAGAGGAGGCTGTTCATCGGGTTGTTGTCTGTGTTGGGGGAGCCAGTGAGCAGACCTAGCGACCGTGCACGTCACTGAGCCCTGGGTCCCAGGTGGATGCCCTTGTCACTCCTTGAATGAATGAGTGTTTCAAACCCAAATCTTATCCTAGGATCTGTGAATGACTCACCATTTCTTATTTGAGCCTCTGTGAGTTAGGCTCAGCTATATGTTAAAATAATAGAACCTGATAGGTTTAAATTTTGTATCATGTGCTTTTTAGGAGACTTGAACTGGAATTTCATATAGGCTTTTAATAGAAAATTATAGACACTGGCCAGGTAGCTCAGTTGATTAGAGCATCATCCTGATATGCAAAGGTTGAGGGTTCGATCACAGGCCAGGGCACATACGAGAATCAACCAATGACTGCATAAACAAGTGGAACACAAATCGATGTTTCTCTCTCTCCCCCCTTCCTCTCTCTCTCAAGTCAATAAGTAAAAATCTATTTTTTTAAAAAGGAAAAAAAATTATACCACACTGATTTAACACTAGGGATTGGCTGGATTTTAAATCCAATTTTACTTGGTTTAGAACTAAATTTGCAAATTAGTAGGTGTACAGCCTTAGTCTTTAATCTCATTTTCCTTAAAACATTGTTATTTGTTTATTTTCATGATGTAAATATCAAATTCATTCATTGACTATGAATAAAAACAAAAAAGTTGTGACTGTTCTTTGGGATGTTATGGTCATGTCTGTCATCTTTTCCTGGGTTCTTCTTGATTCGACATTGCATCATCATTAAAGATTCCGTGATATTCTTTGTGGAATCTCATGGTGTGTTAGAGCAGCAGTTGGCATAATCATCACATGGCCAAACAGAGAGGACATCATTTTCCCAGTAAATTAAGTTGACACGTAATCCCATAATCCCTAATATTATGGTCCCCAACCTATGAATCTATGGAGTTATAGTAAAGGATTTAGTAATTTATATAGACATCAACACTGGTTGTTGATAGAGAAAATAATATAATGCTCAGATATGTTTTAAATGTTGTTAATTCTAATTACGTTCATGAAATATATTTCATTTGAAAGTCAAACTGGTTTCATAGGATTGTTTCATCATTTTGTAATTATCTACTCTACAAATATATAAATGTATTGAGAGTATCCCATTGTGGTTAGTAAGTTTTATCAACGTGTAAAAGAGGCTCCTATTATTGAAAAGAATGAAACCTCGTTTTATGTTTTAACTTTTCATGGTATTTACTCCTGGTTTTACAATGTGGATTTTGGATACCTTCTTTTTTTACTTCTCAGTAGCTAGCAGAATGCTATGTCCTTATCACATTGTTAACAAATGGATATACAAATAACATTGCCATGACTGGGATTTAAATTGCACTGTCATATGTTCTGAGCCAGTTCCCAGCATTAGCTTGTTCAACAGAATAACAGAAAACCATTCAGCAGACAACTTGGCTTAAAGCATGAGGGGGCTGGAAAGCAGACAGTTGTACTCTGTCTCTCGAATGGCATGACCACTGACTACGACCTGTCACCTTCTCTCTTTCAGATGGGAATGTGGTGGAGCCTGACATGTCTGCGGGGTTCTGCCCAGATCACAAGGCAGCCATGGTTTTGTTCCTTGACAGGGTCTATGGCATTGAGGTTCAGGATTTCCTCCTCCACCTCCTGGAGGTTGGCTTTCTGCCAGATCTCCGGGCTGCTGCTTCCTTAGACACGGTAATGACTTGAACTCCTGGCTTCCCGGATTGTGACTCTTCAGTCTCTGGCTTGTGATACTTTTTTCATAGACGAATTTATTCATTTATTGTCGCCAAATGTTTATTGAGCACCTATTATATTTTTAGGAAAGCAGTGTATAAACAGATAATAAAATAGAGTATTTCCTCAAGGAATGCATTGAATAGTAGAGAAGACTCAGCCTCAAGAATAAGATAAGGATTCTAATCAGGTGCAATGGAAGACAATGAGAAACTCATCGAAAGCCTAATTTGGGAGGTCACTGTGGCTCCTGATAACCTCTAAGTTGACCTAAACAATTATTCTCAATAAATCAGTTAAAGTATTAAGAAGGTTTAATGGACATTGCTGAGTCATGCGCTCATGATGTTATCCTGGTGTCTTCATGTTGACGTACAGATAGGTTAAGATCTGCCCCATGTACCCAGTGGCTCCATCAAGACTCTGTCATCATCAGTGTTAATTTGCTGTTGCTTGAAACTTTGTGGAATAAGCTGTAACTTATTGTCCATTAGTTTTATAACACCTCCTTTCATTCTCAGCTAAATGGGTCTTCTGATTTCAGCAGGAAATAAATTGTTAGTTGACAATAGGGATTTCATTAATACCATGAGAGGAGAATCATAAAAATTAAACTTAAATTTTTTTCCTTTGGGTGTGTTTACATGAAATTCTGAGATAGCATAGTAATGATGCTGGTGGACATGAGCAGAAATAGAAACTATTAATAAGTAGAATTCAGAGAGAATGTATGAAGATGAAATATATTTTGATAATAAGCTCTTTTCTCTTTCTTCTCCTAGTAAAGTACTCACATTCTTTGATATCATTATTGTCTTTATCTTCTATTTCTCCTACTATTGATGTTTTGTTATAGAATATGAGCCTCTTGGCTCCTGGGCTCTCTGAGGACATAGCACTTCATTTATTTTTATCTATTGATAAGCAATTGAAGTTGATTGTTTTTAGTGGTAAAAATCATATGAACCACATTTAAAGGTATACATTTTTGCTTTTTTGTCACTTTATAGATGATGAAATTACATGTCAACCTGTTGATTCCCCAAACACAAATGACCTTCTCCTCTCCAATTCCTTTTCAGGCTGCTTTGAGTGCTACGGACATGGCCTTGGCCCTCAATCGGTACCTCTGCACGGCCGTGTTGCCTTTGTTAACAAGATGTGCTCCTCTTTTTGCTGGCACAGAGCACCACGCTTCCCTCATCGACTCGTTGCTTCATACCGTGTACAGACTTTCTAAGGGCTGCTCACTGACCAAAGCTCAGCGGGATTCCATAGAAGTTTGTTTGCTCTCTATTTGTGGGTGAGTGGGAACTAACGTTACCAAGTCTCTCCTTCTTTCAGAAAGAGAATTTATTACTCTGTGGCCCTCTACAAGCTGTTATGAATTTTGGAAACAACTTCTGTACCAAAAGATTAATTTCTAGTAGTAGTCCTTGTACTAAGGTATGAGCTAAGTTTAGCAGTGTTCCCCCAAACCTCTCAAGGGTATCTAGCCATTAGATGTGATGTTGGACGAGTTGTGCTGTCCTGGATGTTAGTGGGCGAGGTGGTGGTGTGAGGAGTCCCTGGCCACTTTAGTGTAAGACTAATAGATTCTCCCCTTTTGATTCTTCCAGAATAGAAGAGAAAGAGGTCCTTACTAAATATGGAAAATGATTCGGTATACTAGTAATATTAAAGCATTACTTATGGGTGGCAGTGAGGAAGGCTGGCTCTTCCTCCAGCTGGAAAACCACTTCCTGTAGGTAGAGGTGTTAAATGCCTTCCCTATGAAAACCAGAACCGTCTCCTCCCTCTGGAGTTCTGACGGTGAAAGGGACAACTTCTCAGGCCCCTAACGAGGATGGAGGCTCTTTCTCATTGAACAGGAGCTCCTGGAGGTGCAGGCTTGCAGCGGGTAGTACACTGTGAAGGGAAGGTTTCCACTCACAGTGGGGTGTAGGGGTTTGGAAGCCAGATGGGACTAGGGGAGGTGAAAAATTTGATCAGTTCTATCACTTCCCTGAGGCTAAAATTCTATGAAATGGAATCAAAATACGTAACTCACAGATTTGTCTACATATTAAGTGGGTAGGAGCTTCAAGGTTGCCTGACATAGCCGAGGGCTGATCCGCCACGTGTCCACCTTTCCCGTCATCCTCTGGCAGAACTTTAATCTCAGCCCTTTCTGCCTCCTGCTCCTCACTCGCTCATCTTTCTGCTTCCCATCTGGTCACTGGAGACCCTTCCACTCATGGGAGTGAGGGAAGACACATTACTAAGTCGTGTTAGGAAGGGAGGGAGCAAAGAAAAAGCATGTCCTGTGGGAAAGAGGGATCAGTCTTCAGATCGGAGTGGAGACAAGGTGCAAATGGAACCTCTTACTCACTGTGCAACCATTGGTTAATCTTTGCATGGGAACACCTAAAATTAACATCCTCTGAAGAGAGGCATATTTAATTTAGTCTAATGAATTATTTACTTAGTTTAGACCATTTACTCCGTTATTAAAATCAGCTTTGTTCCACCAGCCAACTGAGACCTTCTATGATGCAGCACTTACTCAGGAGATTCGTGTTTGATGTCCCGCTGTTAAATGAGCATGCAAAGATGCCCCTTAAGGTAAGGATGAGACACGGTCATAGTTACTTTACTGCCTGGTCCTTTCTTGTTACAACCTGTATGTACGTCTCTTAGACACGTCATGTTTGATGTCTGATGTTGGAAGATTTCTTCCAGTTGATGAAATGGGCATATAAGTATAGATCTGTGTGCATCAACCTAAAATATAAGCAATAAAAGACCACAGAAATCCTAAGATTGATTTACTATAAGTCAATGGAAATGGAAATCAGTGGGAACAAATGGGCCACAGGAAAAAGAGGAGCCAAGAAATCCTCAGGCTGGAAATGTGGTGACAGGCCTGGCCTAGAACATCAGCAGCCTCAGGGATGAAGAGTGGCTTTGAAAATAGCGGTTCTAAGTTAGCAATCTAATGATGGTTTCCAGATGTCATGGCGTAAGGTTGGGAGGGAACCTTTCTGTATAGCAGTTATGCTTTGTCACGGAGGATAGAGAAGTCACTGCATTCTCTCTGTTCTGCGTTATTATTCTCTTCATGGATGATCAAACTCACAATCAGGCTAAAATTCTATGAAATGGAATCAAAATACGTAACTCACAGATTTGTCTACATATTAAGTGGGTAGGAGCTTCAAGGTTGCCTGACATAGCCGAGGGCTGATGTCCGCCACGTCCACCTTTCCCGTCATCCTCTGGCAGAACTTTAATCTCAGCCCTTTCTGCCTCCTGCTCCTCACTCGCTCATCTTTCTGCTTCCCATCTGGTCACTGGAGACCCTTCCACTCATGGGAGTGAGGGAAGACACATTACTAAGTCGTGTTAGGAAGGGAGGGAGCAAAGAAAAAGCATGTCCTGTGGGAAAGAGGGATCAGTCTTCAGATCGGAGTGGAGACAAGGTGCAAATGGAACCTCTTACTCACTGTGCAACCATTGGTTAATCTTTGCATGGGAACACCTAAAATTAACATCCTCTGAAGAGAGGCATATTTAATTTAGTCTAATGAATTATTTACTTAGTTTAGACCATTTACTCCGTTATTAAAATCAGCTTTGTTCCACCAGCCAACTGAGACCTTCTATGATGCAGCACTTACTCAGGAGATTCGTGTTTGATGTCCCGCTGTTAAATGAGCATGCAAAGATGCCCCTTAAGGTAAGGATGAGACACGGTCATAGTTACTTTACTGCCTGGTCCTTTCTTGTTACAACCTGTATGTACGTCTCTTAGACACGTCATGTTTGATGTCTGATGTTGGAAGATTTCTTCCAGTTGATGAAATGGGCATATAAGTATAGATCTGTGTGCATCAACCTAAAATATAAGCAATAAAAGGCCACAGAAATCCTAAGATTGATTTACTATAAGTCAGTGGAAATGGAAATCAGTGGGAACAAATGGGCCACAGGAAAAAGAGGAGCCAAGAAATCCTCAGGCTGGAAACGTGGTGACAGGCCTGGCCTAGAACATCAGCAGCCTCAGGGATGAAGAGTGGCTTTGAAAATAGCGGTTCTAAGTTAGCAATCTAATGATGGTTTCCAGATGTCATGGCGTAAGGTTGGAAGGGAACCTTTCTGTATAGCAGTTATGCTTTGTCACTGAGGATAGAGAAGTCATTGCATTCTCTCTGCTCTGCATTATTATTCTCTTCATGGATGATCAAACCCGCAATCTTTTTGGTGTATAGGACGACACTCCAACGAACCGAGCCATCCAGCCAGGGCGCAATCCAAAAATTTTTAGTTGATTCATAAACATCATTTTATTAACTCGGCAAATAATTGTGAATATTTGTTAGTTTATAGATCAAGAGCACATTATCCAAAGAACTACCAAAAATTGAAAGATGCTATAGTTTGAATTTCCAGTTTAGTTCTAAACAAATAAAATGTTTATAGGAAAACTTGATAAGCAACATAGACACTCAGTAAGATAATAAATTGAAAATATACTTAAAGAACTGATTGAAGTGGGCAGTGTGCGGGGAGAGGGGGGTTACTTAGAGACATCCCATCACAGAGTGTGGGGTGAAGGGTTGCAGAAAGGAAGCACAGATGTTCAGGGGTGCCGTTCCCTCAAAAGGCACATTTTAGGTCCCCTGTCCTGGGGCTGTTAGTGCTCAGGTCACCCTGACACCATCCCTTTGTGCAGCCTCAGGGATGAAGAGTGGCTTTGAAAATAGCGGTTCTAAGTTGGCAATCTAATGATGGTTTCCAGATGTCATGGCGTAAGGTTGGAAGGGAACCTTTCTGTATAGCAGTTATGCTTTGTCACTGAGGATAGAGAAGTCATTGCATTCTCTCTGCTCTGCATTATTATTCTCTTCATGGATGATCAAACCCGCAATCTTTTTGGTGTATAGGACGACACTCCAACGAACCGAGCCATCCAGCCAGGGCGCAATCCAAAAATTTTTAGTTGATTCATAAACATCATTTTATTAACTCGGCAAATAATTGTGAATATTTATTAGTTTATAGATCAAGAGCACATTATCCAAAGAACTACCAAAAAATTAAAAGATGCTATAGTTTGAATTTCCAGTTTAGTTCTAAACAAATAAAATGTTTATAGGAAAACTTGATAAGCAACATAGACACTCAGTAAGATAATAAATTGAAAATATACTTAAAGAACTGATTGAAGTGGGCAGT